AAACTGATTCTTGCAGGATAAGAATCGTAGCTATTGTTTATACGTTTTAATATTACTAGAGCTTACTAGGGCTTAGGGCAGTTATGCATTAGCGGGTGTATTGTGGTAGATTCGCCCGCGGAGCGGCTATGAATCGTACCCGAATCGTGCCCGAAGGGATTCAGGAATCCCGTGACAATTAGTTAGTTATTAATCTATAACTAGTAGTATTAGTATATTAATTATTATTAATATCTTTTTAATATCCTATCTCTTATTAGTAATATAAAGATAATTAGTTTATTATATTTATTAGTAATATTATATTAGTTTAAAATAAAAGATAATAGATAATAGTTATATAAGTAAGTACTATAGTCTATCTATTATCTAAAAAGATAGGATAAAAAAGAAAAGTAATATTATTATTATATAATAAAGTACCTATAATCTACTAGAATATAGAAAAGTACAAAGAATAATAAATAATAACATTAAGGAAAGAGAAAGAAGAGAGAGAGCTATACTATATATATATAGGCAGATACCTACTCTCTAGACCAATTATCTAATTGGTCTATATCCGAGAGTAGGTCAAACTATATAAATATACAAATAGTATAAACATACCCGTCCTAAGTCTTCCTCCATATAGTTATACTACATCTCTCAGAGCCCGAGTACACAAGCTAGGCTGCTTTATGTACTTTCGACCTAGTTGCCGCCACTTTGGCCCCAGAATTGCGAACTCCGAACCCCGAAACTAATTTCTTGTTATTAGCAACTTGCCGTCGGGTTTTCAAGCCGCTGCAGGAGACCGCGTCGAACAAGCATTTCTATCAAATTTCAAAACCGTCTGGTCCTTTTGCAAGCTACCTGGTCGGCGCCTTAACAACAAGTTCGAAGGCAGCTCGGAGGTTTTCCGCCACAAACATCTTCTATCACGTTTTCTCTCCTTTTCTTCTTTATCTTTGCTTTTGCTGACATCTATCACATCGGAAGTTTGCGGAAAGCATGGAGTTTTTGTCAGCAGTGTGCGTTGGAAGCCAGGCAGCAATGAAATGGACTGCTTCGTCAAGGTTGTTCTTGATGTATCGGGTGGACTTAGATTGAGGCGTGTCAGGAAGTCGGCGTCGACATCATAATGGTTGGAAAACACTCAACAAACTCCAGATAATTATCGCTGTGAGCATCATATATGAGCCTTGTACTAATGAGGATCTTTGATCACGAATTATATTGCCTGCATGGTCTAGTAGGGTATGATTACTTAGGTTTGCGGATGCTGTAGTTGAGAACCAGATATATACCGACCTCGGGAACAGCAAACATATGCTTACATCGTTGATACTAACACGCGTCTATTGACAGGGATCTTTAGGCCTGACTAGCCTTTAGACAAAAAATCTGGCTTGTTTTTCAAATTGCATTTTCTCCCCGCAGTGGTCTTTGTCAATTTTTAGTCCGGCTTAGGATTGATAAGTCGCACGAAAAGGGAAACAAAGTTCATGGTCTACATTTCTTATTCGAAGATTTAAAATTAACACTCTCAGGCTGTTCTATTTTATTATCACGAGACTAATTGCGGCAGGTCAAAGGGAGAACATTCATAATCCTTGTTCAAGTTCTCAACCTTGGACTCGAACTGCTAGTACTACATAGGGCATCATGCCAGTGAGGTGTTCAAGGTCCATGGATAGTATATATCCTAGTTCCATCTTAGATACATGAGATGTAAAGATTAGTTGATCATGACTAGTCCTTTTGAATTTACTAGTTAAATTATCTGACAATAAAGTCAGTGTCAAGTGGATCTATACCACTTGCAGTAGTTCCATGAATTGAAAGTCCCGTTCCTGCTGAATTGACCTACACGCAAACATCTATGCATATCAGGATAAGAGCTCCCAGCGACCATACAGATACTTCATATCCTAAGACTAAAGCCATCGTAGCGATATAATATACCTAGTTATTAGATACTTAATTTTACCTGCTCGGAAAAGAATAATGTAAGTTAGAACAGGCATTGTGGTCAAATCTCGAGACACCGTAACCTCCACAGATCCAAATACGTAGGACCGAATTACTACTTAGTAGGCATCCACTACCTCAACTATGTTGAGAGCATCTGAACAACCAACCTCAGAAGGCTAGACCCTCGACATAAATTTCAAGAAGAATGATATTAATCATTACTTTAAGCTAGTTCCGCAAAACTCATACTTGGGTCAGTCATTCAGCACCTACTAGTTTACTCCCTTTCCTCCATGAATACAACTATGCTGCTTACCTACATACTACTAAGCATCCGCGAGGGCTCCCCATCTTCATCAGGCTAGTACCACAATCACCCAAGTCCTACAACAATCACGAACCTAACAATAATTCCCTCGAAACATCAAGTGACTCGCCTCGTCATCCAAAAATGCCAAGCAGAAACATCTTATCACCGCAAGCCCATTTCTCAAATCAAACCCCAAAATTAAAACATACATGACTCAAATCCGGATTCAAATGCAATGATTCGCGTTGAAGGATCGCGATGCCAGTTTCACTAACGCCCAAAAATGCCTCAACACCACCCCCTCACCCCACGTAAAATATATCGAATACGACCCATACTCTCTGAGCCTGGGTAAGGTCCCTGAATATGAAACTACGCCTGTAGCGCGATGTAAGTAGACTAAAGAGGCACCGCGTGCCCCAATACGGAGCAAGGGTCTAATAACATGATGTCACTTTGATCTCCCTAGAGTGTTGGCTCGGTCTAGCCGCGTCGCTACCCAAGACATCCATCTTGCGTGACTATCTTGTCTTGTCTTAGGATGCCCAGTACATTATTTACTGGTATGGATATTAGTATGGGGGATGGGTGGGCTGGACTTGGGTTCCTATTTTTTTTGCCTCAATCAGAGGAAAGCCCTGTTTACGTCTGCCTGGTCTGGAGAATGTCTGGCATATTTATGTACACTGACAGTATGTGGGATGATGCACGGTCGATCAGGGTTGCGATCAGACTACATAGAGCACCGAGCGTGATCGAGCCCTGGTGTTGCCCCGGCTTTCCAGTTCTGCCTAGTCTTTTTAAAGTTGGTAACTATTTAGTGTGCTTTGGTTGACTCTATTGGGCTGTCTGCATACTGTTTCTGCTAGTGAGTTCTCTGGAATGCGCATGGGCTACACGCTTTGACGGTCTTGCGTGAACGGTGCTCGGATGACTTGGATGTTGGCATAGTAGACTTTACGTGTACATAATTCGGTACCGTACTCATTTTTGGCTCAGGTGTGAAGAGGTAGGTGGCTTTTTCTTCAGGGTTAGAGGCGTTCCATTTATTCATGGATTTGAATAGGGGCATACAGCAGGTACAGCAACAGACACACGAGGGATTTGAATTCAAATACATACTGTAACTGTTAACAATTGAACCCCACAAACACATATTCAAGAGAACTCCCATGCCAATTACTGTAGGGCTTTCCGAAAGTTAAACATTTATGTGGAAAATCTATCCAGTAAACCGGGACAGGGACGCAAGGTAATGCGACGTGCTGCAATGCAAGTCAGCATGAATTTTGGCGCGGAAAAACGCCATTGACGAGTAGGCTTCGAGAGATAATAGACAATTAAGAAATTTTTCATAATTGCATTGTTTCCAAATGGTTCGTTAGTTCATTTGGGCTAGTCTTGCTAAGCCGTTGGTGAAAAAGAAAAGAAACCCGATATGCAAGGGGGTGGAGTAAAGAAGGGGGAACCAGACGGGAGACCCTATGCTCAGGAACAAGCCATGGGTACAGTATTCTGTGTACAATTTACTGGAAGGTTAAGTACTGTGGTAAATCGCCAATAATATGATCGCGATCGATCGATGGGTTTGAAGAAATATGCGGACTTTCTATAGGCTGGGACTTTCTACCGTTAATTATGATATGCTGGTGCTGAGATGTCACTATGGCTAAGCCTAAAACTGTACATGGGTACGAAGTACGACAAATCTAATCTACTATTGCTGCAGGGTACCTGGCCCCGAAACTTCCCCTGAATCATGCTGTGATGGAACCAAAGAACTTTCTATCTGGATGCTGTGCTACTGGACTCGAACTTCCCCGCGAAAATCAACACTCTGATCAGCATAGTTTGGGGTTGGATCTGAGCCACCCATCCCACTTAGACCCTCATTAAACCTGAAAAACAAACAAAAAACACAGATCGTATCATGCAAGTATGTAATGTATGTTGTTCATCTGTTGGGAGATACGATAGAGGGTACGTTTGAGGATGCATAGGAATGTTACTCGAAATCGATGACGACGTGGGTTACAGATTGTACTACCGGGCCAACGGAGGTTCTGCGGCAGAGTCCCATATACTTGGTTTGCAGAGACGGGTCCTGCGTGTTGGCACCCGGGGAATGTGAAGTAGCCGGGTAGATGCAATAGTCGTGTTCCGCCTGGTATGTGCAGCTATGATCAGCTCTGAAAGACGTGCATTACGTGAAGACTAGCTAGTGGGAATATCTTTACTCTTCTTGTTTTCTCGATTATTGCTAGTTTTATTTTGACTCTCTCGGTATGGTATGGTACGGAGTAGTTCGGCATTTGGGAAGACATGGATTAGAGAAAGATCGAAAATCAATAGTACGCTTCTAGACAATCCCGTGGACCTGGGCTTACATAGTCAATAGAAATCGTGCTAATGCAGGTATCACTAATGGATCGATAAGGTTGATAATGATTTACAGGGGTAGATCAGCAATCAGAGATCAGAAGTTAGAAATTTCTGTTCCCTGTTTCGAGTCAGTTCGGGCTTTGCCGCCATCGAATCGCAGTGGTTCGTACCTGAGCGTTGAATATGAGATATCGGTTTGACAGCGGGCTAGAGGCCACTTGTCAAAATTGTTTCGAGTAAGTTTTGGACTTGTAATTTTAGTAGATTCTTAAGTATACGACCCCTGAACCACTTCTGAAGGCTCTTCTGTTAGTATACAGCTACCCCGTAGTACTTTAGACAAAAACGAGTTATGGAGAAAATCACGCAGCATGCAATCGTGGGTGGCAAGACCAAGCAACGTGAAGACTTCCCTCCACAGAACTGGCTATTCCCAAGCACGCGCAGCTGGTATGTAGGCAATTTTAGATACCTCTACTAGTAGTCTCTTCAGATATGCCACAGGTGGATCGCCACCAAGCCTCCCCATACGGTGGCGGATTATCAACCTCGGGTTTGAGCGTAAGGCTACTTTTGGCATGACTCAGTGCAACACCAGAGATCAGATTGTTAAACGCCACTATTCAAACCTTCCGTGAAGACCTCTGCCATAATTTGATCTGTGCTTACCGGCAATGATTCAGATAGTGCAGGGACCATCTGAATCTCGATCTCGGTCCTGACATACTACTGTACTAGTAATAAGTACATTTTCAGCTCAGACAATGATTGTGGCGTGCTTGGGGCTCTTAAATTCTTTTTATTGCTTTTTCTTTGGTTCAAATCTTGTTTTTGGGTTTGAGTAAGACTGATAAAGCTTATGGTTCTCTTAATTTGAAGCAAGTCATCCCTTGGGATGCAGGGGTTCCTAAGATACTATGGGGAAAGACATTGGCATCTATCTGGCCCTTGCGGCGTGACTGGTCTGTGCTTGAGTTAGATTGGGGTATTATGGTTATTTTACTTGAAATGAGCACTGGAACAGTTTCAGAGATAAGAATTAACGTTAATTGAATGCTGGTTGAGACAGAATGATGGTTTATGGCAGGGCTGGACCGCTAAAAAGGCTATACATTACAGTCAATAGGGTCCAGGACAGGAAGAGGGTTTATCTAAAATATGGCGATAGTGGAGATGAAGACGTACTTTAGCTTAGGTCTTGGCAAGATGATCTCGAAAAATTGGGAATGAAGAAAGTACAATCGACGTGAGAATATTGCCGTGCTGTCGGTAATGGGGAAGCGACTATTGACGATTATTCACATTCATGGTGAGAAAAAACCTGTTTGAAACAAGCGCTAAGTATGCATGAAACATAGCCCTAGAAGATCGTTCTCCATCTCCCAGATCGATTATTAAAGATTGGACAGATGGAACAGGGTATGTACCTACATATGGGAGGCTAGTACAGTATTAGAGGCTAGTGAGATGGGCATGGGCCTCAGATCTGACAGACGAGGTGATCGACGGGGAAAGACATGGATCGACACCCGACAGCGCCAGAATAGGGATGGTAGAGACCCGAGTCTTTTGGGCTCTAGGGCCTTCCGGGGAATCTTTTGAGAAGCTCAGATCGTCAATGATCAATAACGCTATTATTTTTGCGGGCTTGGATGGGTCCCGTTTAACTGGGGGGTATCCCGACCATTGGGGACGCTAATAGGTCGGTGCATAAGGAGATCACTATTTTAGGATCCGTAATAGAGTTTGCCCCAACCATCTGGTTCTGCAAATCAGAGCACACGATTAAGCTAGTGAGAGCTGTCAGAATTTATTCGGTACGCTTAGAAGCGTTGGTTCAAGCGCTCGGTTATTGGGCTAGTGGATTTTTGTGTTTGTTTGGCGTCTGTGTTTTTGGTCGACGAGATAGATAGAGCAGCTTCCAAGGAAAACTTTGAAAAACGACTGTTCTTGTTCTCTGGTTCTATGTCTATGTCTGACCCACTGGAGTCAAGTTACATGTCTGACTTGTAACTTGAATGTGATAACTGTAACACGCTGTCATGAGGCGAAAAAACGAGACTGTGCATGGACACGTACAGTAGACCTGCGGAGGCAAATTCTGGGGCTCTGGAATCTTCAGGCGTCTATCATCGGGGAGGTCGGAATTTGTGCCGCATAACAGAGGATTAGTGGGAGGTAATGGTTCATCGCCACCGACTCTGTGGCTTATGCTGGGTGGGGATGGAGTTTTCCCTACGGCCTCGAGCTTGCAAGAATGTGTGAATGCATGAAAAGTTCTTGGGCGTGTTGGGGATAAGCCACGCAGTTGACCAGCGGACTGGGAATGGATTTGGATCCAACTGGACTTGAACTGGACTGGTCTTTTGCGCCATTCGAAGCGGGTTCCTCAGGTTCGGGTCTTGACTGACGCGTGATAGATCAAACAGGCCCCCCCCCCCCCTGAACCTAGATGCAGGTCCAGCTAGCCCCGGCTGGTTAGTGTTTTAATTTAATTTTGGGGTTTATCTGGGATTTTCTTCTTCTTCTTCTTCTTATTGTTATTATCTTCTATACTCTAGGCTCTTTCAGCGGGAAGTGTACCCGTATCATATGGGCTATTACATAGTGGGCCGTTGAGGCGCAACTTTACTACTGGTGTATCGGAATGCATAATCGGAGGTGTTTTTTCTTTTCTTTTCCCTGGTTCTCCCCGATGTGCAGAGAAATCAATTTGCTAATGGTATTTTAGATTTTAGATTTTTAGGAAAGTATTTGTTTTGTTTTTCTGCTGAACATTCCAATCATGCCTGATGACGATAGGGCTCCGGTAATTTGTCATGGAGTCAGGAGCGTACTTTAGGATGGAATTGAGCGGGGCCCAGAAGCCGAGGGCGATCTTTACCGGGAAAAAGAAAGAGAAAATAAATACCAAAAAAAAAAGAAAAAGAAAAGAGATCCGGAGAATAGTAGAGAATGGAGAACTGGAATTTATGAATGTTACCCGCCCCGTAGACCGGGATAGGCCCGGGATATGGTCTGTGTCTGTAATCGAAGATCCGCACGGACGGGCGTTCGTAACGTCTGACCTGTCGCGCTCACAAAAGATCGATCAAGCCCTTCCCCACTATCCGGTGCAGTAGGCAGAGATTTAATGTTTGTTAGTCATATTGACATTGCTCTGTATTATTATGTCTTGGGGTGTGGCCACCCCCCGATCATCCTCATTTCATTTTGTCTCATGTACCCAGATCTATAGAGATAAAAACGAATGAAACCAAGACAAATCAAATCCAATTTTCATCCCTCTTCCCCAGCTGTGTGGGGCGATCAGGGACGATCCCGTGGGTGGAAACCAACCAGCCAAAGTACATGTGTAGCTCAAGCGAAAAAGAAAAAGATCGACAAGACACAAAAGTCTGGGGGGCGATCATTGGGAGAATCCTGTAGGAAATCTGGTTGAGCAACGAAGTGGAGACCAAGTGGAGAGGCTGCATGTCAAGTTGTGTAGAGAGACCCAAGCCCATTTTAGCTCTACTCACATAGCGCGGAACGCATCAGGTACAGCCGGACATTCCTGGTGATGCAGTCCATCGATTGGTGTTAGAAGATGATATCCGATATTGACTTGGGTGTAGTATGTATGTGGGAGATCCCAGCGTTGGGTTCCACAATGATAAGAAGAAATTAAATAAATAATAAAGAATTAATTATAATTAAAGATAATAATAATAAAATAAAATAAAATGAAAATGAAAAAAGAACTGTTAGGGATGAGGCAATCAACCTGACGATCTTCTCCCACTGACTGTCACTCACTCATTCGCTACATTCAACTGAGAGGTTCAAGCTTCAAGACGCTTATTTCAAGGCTCAGATCGGTTTGATTTATTTAATTTGATTTAATCTCTCCCAATTATACTCTACTACCACTCTTAAACCAAGACATTGTGCAGTAACTGTCCCAGACTCCCTTACCTGTCTTGTCCTTCTTATAACCCTTCCCCTGCCCTCCTCTCTCCCACCCCCTCCAACCACCACCATCAACAACCAACCAACCAACCCACGAAAACCCCCTTAGGTCTCTAATCTCCTCTCAATTAATCTGAGACCACAACCTGCCCCTCTTCCCAACCCTCCCCAGATTCTATCCAAGGTCGTGACAAAGGGTTTCCCTACCAACACGGTCCTGTCTCTGCCAGCCACGATCCTTGTCGCCATTTTCGGGTTCCCGGTCTCTGAGTTATTGCAGCAATCGCGCGTTTTCTACGGGCCCCAGAAAGCAGCAGAGCCGATCTCAGTCCTATTCTGGTCTTCGGCAAGCCCTCTGCCACGGTAACTGAGGCTATAGCATTCCTGGCCTTGCTTAGGGTTTCTTTCCTAGCACGCGACGCGGTTTGGATCTGATCCAAGTCATGGCGTATAGCTGTAAGTGCGATTCCCCACCCGAGATTCTATGCTCGACCGATTTGTTTATTTCTGCTCGTTTGTCCCCTGTCCATTCCCTTCTTTTCTTCTCCTACACACACACATTCTTTCTGTGGACTTGTCTTGTGTCGTCCTGTGCCCTCGTTCCTTTCCTTGTTGCCTCACTCTCTCTTACTCTCGCTTCCCTCACTTGCTTGGTTTTGTTTTGTTTGTCTGCCTCGCTCTCTCCCTTGTCTTTCTCTCTTGCATTTTTCCTAGTTTGCCATTGTGCTTGTTCATTCATTCCTAGTCTTTCAACATCTTGTTATAGATATTCGAGACTAAAACTTTGTTCTTTTCCCCCTCGTTCTAGGTGATACTATTACCATCGACACTGTCACCGCTCCTCATTTGAAATACGAGGATATCGACGATATGAGACGTCAGGGTCAACAGATTTCAGACCGATTAACTGTTGAAGTTGACTGCCACTCCTTGGGTCCCAGTGATTGCCCCTCAATGACTTCGAGCTTCTCTCCTTTGGAATCCCCGACTCCCACCCCAACCAGTCTGTACAGCCAACACTCAATGGCTTCTCCGAGCTGGCACGAAGCCGGCAACTATCATAGTATGCCTATGGAACGCCGTTCTTCAGCAACTCCTCTCCGAAGTGCATTCAGAATGGCCGATTTAACATCTGGTGATGCCATGGGCATGCCCTGTGGAATGGAACGTCCGGATCAGCTTCCCATTGCTGATTACTTCCCTGGCTACGATGAGAACGTGGACCAGTTCCTTCTACCTGACAACATGCCTAAGACTTTCGAACAACCCACTTTCCCTTACCAAGCCCCAATGACTCAGTACAACACCATGGGCCGAAACTATACATACCGACCTCAGCAGCAGCAGACCTATCTGCCAGATTCTGCCTCAAACCCATGCCTATCCCGTCCCATCTTCAACCAGCCTGAGCGGATGTCCAATTCCGTCTCCATGTCCAATATGCTCCATTGGATGCCCTCCCATGAGTCTCTAGGTGCCACACAAACCATCGCACCTCAGCAGGCTTTCCCTAATCCCCACGGCCCTGTTACTCCACCCTCATCATCTTACTCTGAATTCCCCACCAACCTTCAAGGGTTCAAAACACAGAGTCCTTCTACTCCTGTTCGCTCCGTCTCTCTCGGAACTCCTTCTGGGAGTGATACACCTGTCAGCCGACTATCTGGGCACAATGAATATCATGAAGAATTCTCTGTTTCCCCTATCTACAGAGACAGCAATGGCATCATGAGGAGCCACACTCACCGCGGGCCTTCTCGGAAATCATCCAAGAAGAACCTGACTCGCTCCAACCTCAGCCTCGAGCATCTTCCCGCTGTGATCAAGCAAGTTCAGTTCAAGTGCAAAGAGCCTGGTTGCAAGGGTCGATTCAAGCGTCAAGAGCACTTGAAACGCCACATGAAGAGTCATTCTAAGGAGAAGCCCCACGTTTGTTGGGTTCCTGGATGCCACCGGGCGTTCTCCCGCAGTGACAACCTTAACGCCCACTACACGAAGACCCACAGCAAGCGTGGTGGACGTAACCGTTACGTTGCAACCCTAGATGACACTAGCCCAGACTTTGATCCTGAATTCCGGGGCCAACTTACCCCTGATGGACGACCTATTTATGGATCGAAGCTTGAAGATCCTATGATGGACTGCGATCTTAGCGTTGACGGCTGGGACGATTAGGCGTTCCTTTTTCAGCCCCATCCTCCCATCATCAAAATTCAATTCAATTCGAAAACAAAACTTAAAATCAATACACGCGAGATACATTTCAAAAACAGAACAAAACATAACACCACAACGCAGACAACCCAGGTCTCGATATTGATACCCCCTTGGAGGATTTGAATGCCATTGGATATGGAACAGGCATTGGCCGACTAGATCGACTGGTCGCTGCAGCGTTGTACATGTCCCTCGGGCAAGACCCGAAGAGACAGTCTTTGTGATTATTCTTTTCCTTTTCCTTTTTCCATTTCCTTGTTCTCCTATTTTTTTTTTCTTGCATAATTTGCCTGGTGTGAGAGGGCTTGGCTTGGAGTGGATTTCTCTTTTTAGGCGCTTGCATATTATGCTCTTAGCTATGGTCGCCGGTGTGCGCTAATCATTATGGTGGGATTTGGGTTGCGATCCTGTACAATCAGCTACAATGCGTTGATCTTCCTCTTCCCCTTCATTATTTTCTTTTTTTTTTCTTGTCTCTCTCTTCTGTATCACCAACCAAATACCTATCTTATGGCATAATACAAAACAAAAAACTGAGACGTCATTCCATTCTCCAACTCCACCCTCCCGCTGTTAGTTTTTCCTTAGTCTCTTCCACTTCCTCTCCACAGACTCCACACCCGCACAAACCTACCACTTCCACCACTCACACCCACTTCCACCACTTTCAACCGTTGTATTTTCGCCTTTCCATTTCCTTAAAGTTCCGCACTGGATCGAAGCTCCAAACTTCCGATCATCTGAGTTACAGCCTTACCTTGGCGATTTATATACGAAGCCATTAAATCTTGATCAACCCGTTCCACGGTTCCTGAATGCCGGTGCATGAAATGTTACACATCACAACTGCCGCGCCACTTCACTCGATCTGTTCGAGATTCCCTGGTAAACTTTTCTTGCCTACCTGGATCTCTCAACCCGATCTATCTGGTTCTTTCTGTTCCACCGTGGAGAATATTTGTTCTAGTCTTACTATCCTTGTACCAGTCATAGACCAAACCCAATGAATTGGATATCCCGCATTGCTTTTGTCATGCCATGCCACGCTACGCTATGCCATCAATCTCTTTCCAGCTCTCTCACACTCTCTCCACATTTCGGTCCCAACGGGCTGGGTTCTTCTTCGTAATCTCCGTTTCAGCCACGTCCATGCTTACCACTGGCGTCTTTCCGCTTCCCGTCAGTTGCAGGGTTCTTCTTCTTTGCCCTCGTTGTTCTTGCTCCTGCTCTTACTCTCCGTGCTCATGCGTGAATACGCAGCCCCGTAAACATTACTAATATGTCTAATCCTTTCCTTTCCTTTCAAATGTTGCTAGTCATCTCGAACTTAAATTTACTGTTTCATCTTCGAAACGACCGGAAGGATCTATGATCTTCATCCATCCCATCTACCTGTTGTTTGTTCCAGTGGCTCAGCTCAGAGCCAAAGTACCTCTGTGGGTCATGGATCACTATTTTCCAAAACAACCGTCTATCCGTTCTTGTGTTACCGGAAATGGATACTTGCGTCTTTCGCCAAGTCCAGTATTAACTCTCGGACATCGCTCGGACGGCGTTCAGAGCCGCGCATCCTGACCCGCTGTCTGGCTTTTGGCTGTGCTTGTTCTTGTGTTTGTGCTCGCCACCGTATCGGGCTTCTTGCATGATTTATTCCCAATCTATCGGGTTGACTATTTTGGTTAGAAGAAATCTCGGATTTGAAAAAATAAATGGATTGAATTAAATGAATTAAATCAAAATATAACAATCCAATTCAAACCCAACTCACAAATATATTCAGCTACTGCATGAATGGGTTTATGCCATTTAAAGTGATTGATTTATAAAAGAATTCCCCAAACATGTGCATAGCTAACTAACCCCTGATGAACAAGGTTAACATAGTACCATAGTTCAAGTTCAAAGGTACTAGACTACGTACTTTGGGGGAATTCCTTTCTCCCCGACTCCTTTGATCGAACTTTTCTCTTTCTTTGCTTTTCCGCCATGATCTTCATGCATGTGAGCCGCAGATAGTTAGACTGAAGGCTGAACCCTGAATATTCTAGGTTTGTGGCATGATTCTCCAACTGGATTATGGTTCATGTCAGCGGTTCATGAACTGTACGAGGATGTCGGGATGGTTTCATTCACCCATGCGACTTGGTTTCGGTTTCGGATTCCACGCAGTGAGATTCCAAATCATTGCTCTACCTACATAATTACAAAGATAATGATAATAAATAAAAATAAAAACAATTTGGTCGGGATCCCCTGTTACACTGCGCCAAGTACAGACACTTGCACTTTATTTCATTTGATTGGGGTATACCCGGACCCAGACTTCGAAGTGAGATCGAACTCGAATGTAATTGCTTTTGCTGTGAGGTCACAGTGTGTAGGTATTAGTATTTTCTTTCTTCTATTTCATTTCTATTTCTATTTTGGTGGATCTCTATTGCTCCGTACATCTGATCAGAGTTTCCGGATGGTTGATCCGTGGCACTATTGGGATGTTTTCTTTTTCTTGTTCGCGTGAGTCTGGGCCTTCTCATTTGTCATTATAACCGCTAGGTTTGATTAGATCTACTAGGATTTGGATTGGATACTAGATAAACGGACATCAGATTATTTTTTACAAGTTATAATGTAAGTCTTCATCTATTGAAATGATATACTTACCAAATCTGACGAATTCTTGGATTCGGCTTATCCCCGACAATATACTTTACTACGTATACGTATACCTATTACATATAGTTTAGTATAGTATGTACATCATGATAATCGGTGTACATACTGAATGATAAATTCGCTTCATCTTGACATTCCTGAGAGAGACATGCGTTATACAGTCCAAATTATCCTTGTCGCGCGGGTTGGCTTTGCATTGGTATGTCTGTGCGTTTGCTTTGCCAACGTGTCATGCGGAGTTTACATCCGTGAACTTGGAAGACGAGGATCTTGAAATTCTTCTGAATTTTCCTCAAGATTAAATTAAATTAAATAAATCAAATTCAACATCTAGTATCCCTCAAATCTTGAACCTTCTAGTACAGGGTGGTTGGTTCCCCTATCATGATCTTCTACTGCAACCCTACAGTGGAATTGTTAATTCTCTCGCATAGCCTTCGCCTGTGCGTTGGGCAACATGCATTGGAATGTGATATTCAGGTTTTCCGTGATTATTCTCGCGGTCTGGACCTGGAGTTCAACCGAAGTATGGAATGATACTGATCGAGATACTAAATATGCAAAACGTCCTTTTGGGAAAGATAATTAGGCTTCAGTCAATTCTTTTTGATTCTGCCCTGTTTTGGTAATCTCTGTGGTTCTGGAGATATCCCGTTGCCACCTACAGTATGCTCGATCTCAACTTCAATGTTCCGTGAGTACCTATCCCTCGCTTGGATTATGGGTGTCCGCATCCATACTAAGGTAGGTACTAGGTAGGTAGTACTCCAGGGGTATCTAAAGTTTTATTTTATTATATGAATATAAACATTAAACAGGAACGCTATTCAATTTCAAATCAATCTCCACCCCCACTGAGATATAATTTTATGCAATTCAAATTGCCCCGCATCATCAAGAATGTGTCGGTGAGAACCCGACGTCGAGGACTTCTGGCGGTGAAAAAGATGAACATTGCGATTGTTCTTTTTGAAAGATTTTTTGCGCCCTAATGCATGTACCACGATTGATATTCGTGTGGCTTATACAGTACCCCGTCCCATCACCCCGGATCGAGGATCGATCGGGTTGGGGATTTTGTGGGTAGGTCCGAGTTGGCAATCTGTTAGTCATTACATCCTTGACTATGTACATGGATATGGGTTATCTTTATGTATGGATTGATATAGAAGATTTGTGCATGGGCCGTTGGGCTGATTAGTTCTTTGACCCCTTTGCTGAGTGCTGAGTCTGAGTGCCCGGTTGTCAGCTGGGGGTTGACGATCAAGAGGTAGATGTTGATCTGTGGTCTTCTGCATATTCTCTTGATAACAACAAACCAGGGCTTAAACGTACCATGATAGACGATATTCCCTTTTAATTACAGGGACCAATAATTGCTACAAGGGGATTGTCTCTATAAAGTATTGTAGATAGGCTGGAAGTGCCTTGACCTAGAGTACGAGTACAACAAAAGCAATTCAATCAAATAGCTTGCATTTAGGACGAATTTTCATTATTTCCAGTCCCATCCAAAACCAACCAGCCCCATGAAAACATGAAAGAAACTCCTGTACAAAATGGTATCGAATCTGAATCTGAATCCGTTGGCCCGCCGAAAAGAAACCGTGCGCACATAGTACAAATTACAAGAATGGCAAGCAAGATCGACACCAGAGAAATCAAGGCGGTGGAATCATGAAAAAGAAAAAGAAAAAGAAAAAGAAAAAGAAAAAGAAAAAGAAAAAGAAGAAAGAAAGGTAGAAAAAAGCTCGACGGGAGAAACCCAAGGCGAAAGTACTGCTGAACGCCAACCTTTTAATACCTGCGATGCCTGGACCCTGTACAATTCCCACGAAATATGACAAGAGAGAAGAAAAATAAAGAAAAGAAGGGGGGATTGGAAAGAAAGCGCGATAGAAAGATCGAGACCAATGGCCAATCTGGTGAATACGGACGAATAAGATGAAGGCCATCGTGATTAATAAGATGTTTTTTCTCGATTATCAATGAAACAGAATGTGTCTTTATTGGGACCTTCATCGAGCATATGCTGGTGTAGATGTAGTGGATATTTGTTGATGTTTTTTGAAATGACTTTCTAGAGTCGAAGATCTGTGACCAAGGATTGATTTTGGCGCAGTTCTGCCAGATGGAGTGGTCCCCAATGTTCCGGTCTTAGTTGCCCATACCGTTATGCATCATGTTTTGTTGTAACTGCTGTTGTTGCTGAGCTTGCATAGCAGCTTGTTGTGTAGCTCGCTGTTGTTGAGCAGCTTCACGCTCTCGTCGCATGAGATCCTGGACCCATGCCTTAGCATTCTTCTCCAGCCCAGCACCGTATTGCTGCGCAATCTGGGGCGGGTACTGGTTCGGCGGTCCATATTGTTGCATGTAGCGTTGGGACATCTCATGTCGCAAATGAAGGAGCCTTTGATGATAAAGGCGGTTGTATCGTGCAGCCATATTATTTTGCATGTTTGGCACTTGCCCGCCATTGGCTTGAGCCATCATCAATTGCTGCTGTTGCTGAGGTGTCAGGCCCTGTTGTGCTTGTTGAGGATTCATTCCCTGTTGCGGCATTCCCTGCTGCTGCTGCTGCTGCTGCTGTTGCGGGCTGCCATGGCCTGCTTGGCCCTGGGGAACGCCGCCCTGCTGCTTGACCATCTGCATCTGCGCGAATTGAGCACGCATGAGCTGAGCCTGGTAGGCCTGGTGGCTCTGCCGAGGCATGTTTTGCATATTCGGATGGGTTTGCTGCTGTTGTGCCTGCTGGGCCTGTTGTGCTTGTTGCGTCTTCTGAGCTTGTAACAGCTGTTGTTGATGAGCATGTGATTGGATGTTTTGTTGGGCATGTGCGCTAGCTTGCATTTGGGCAAGCTGCTGTGGAGTGAACTGGTTCCCTCCCATCTGGCCTTGCTGCTGCTGCTGCTGCTGAGCCAAAAGGGCTTGCTGGCGCTGCTGGAGCATTATCTGTTGTTGTTGAGTCAGAGCAATTCCGTTGCCCATTTGTTGAGTGTTAGGAATGGCGTGGTTCATCACTGGAGTCTGACCCATCGTTGAGTGGTTTGGACTGCCATGGCCCATACGTTGGGTTGGTGTCACATTACGCATAATGGGAGTGGCATGAGACATGGCCGGCGTGCCCTGGGTCATCTGAGGGGTTCCATGTCGACTCGGCCCTTGTTGACTTCTCGACGGGGCCATTGGATGGCCCATCATATTAGGGTGTCCGTGTTGCAGGGAAGATGGTGGTCTCGGTGGACTTCCTGACTGTTGCGATGCACTGATGCTCATGGGAACAGCCTGTGTTGTCATAATGTTACCAACCAGTGGTGAAGAGGTGCTATGAGGAGTTTGATTGCGTACAATGGGGGAAGATTGTTGTCCTTGGCTAACGCCATTAGCTTGCGCAATGCGGTTTTGTTGGGCGGCAAGTTGCGCTTGCGCTTGCTGTGCCGCAAGCTGTTGCCTTCGTGTTTCCTCCTTCGCATGTTCCTCAGCCTGTCGCTGCTCAATTGCCCGGCGTCGCTCTTTCTCCTGCTCTTGCTGCTGTCTCTTGGCCAAATCCTGTTTCATCTTCACATCATATTCACGTTTAGCCTTCTCTTCAAGTTGCATGCGAATAGTCTCTAGGGTCTTGAAACGCGAGAAACGCGGCTCGAAAGCTGCTGTTCCAGCTGCATCATCGACCGCAGCAGCCTTCGCACCTCCAGCCCCGCTAGATGATGCAGGCTCAAGACGTTCGTCCATAATAAGCATAAACCTCTCCTCTTCGGCTGCAAGGGCTTCATCGGCCGCAAGCTCTGCGACTGTTCTCTTACGCCGCTTGGGTGACGGGGGAGGGTTGCTGTGTAATGGACTCTCCATGAATTTGAGCAACTTTTGAGCAGCACCAAAGTCCTCCACGGGATCTAGATACAGTGGAGGAGCTAAAGCTCGCACAATCAGTGATTCACACTCTGGAAGATCTCGCGGCTCAATGAGAGTCTTCTGTCTCTTTGCGGGATTGCCTCGATCAGGCTGGGAACCAGGAGCCACTGGAGATTGGGGAACTAGTGATCCAGACTGTGTGCGAGACAATTGACCGGCATTTGATGCCTTTGCTGCTTTCGGATCGGGCGTAGTCGCAAGTAGGGTTAATTCTGCCTGTAATACTCGGCTAGTAGGGTGGAGAACAGTAGTGAACACTCGAGGTTTGGTAGGCGCGATTTTATCCATGGTATCCTTTGCTTGGGGCTGAGCATCAGATGCCTCGGCATTGGCTCCTTTTTCATCATTATGATCAGTAGATGCCTCAGCCGGTTTTGAGTTTTGTGCATCGGTGAGGTGATTCTGCTTTGGATAGGGAACATAGGGAGAGGGCGTAATATGTTCGTTGTAGTTATGCAATGAGAAAGGAGTGTTGTTTTCGTTGGTTTTTGTTGGTGAGGTCTTTCTAGCTTGTGCCGAGACAGACTTGTGATCGATCACTCGTACGATGAGACAACCTAGAGAATGGCAATGAGCAATTATGATCACAATTAATTATCGACAAATTGAATAATACCTTCGTAGAACCGCACGTTGCCACGAAGGAGCTCCTCGATCAAGTCATGTGGAATGGTCCCCGCGCGGATGTGTTCAATTATGATCTTCATCTCTGAATTGTAAGGGAAGCTTCCGTCTTGCTGCTCGAATCGAAAATGCGTGGGGTGAAGATGTACGATAAGGGATGGCGGGGATTTAGCGTATTTCTTGAGGATGTAGGAAGTTGTTTTCACTGTGGCGAGATAACGGAAGCTCATAGTCAGCCACGGTGTATCATGAAAAGCAATTGCACGACGATATCCAAGCAGCGACTCACCGTATGGTTCCGACCGGCTTTTAGATACCCGGTTGTCACCTCCGCCTGTAGCTGTCCTTGTCACCGGTCGACCGATGCGCGACTGCTCACCGGGCTTTTGCGACGGGTGGTTTCTGGTCCGATTCAGGGTACCTTTCGAGGAATTCGCCATATTGGCTACCCCATTGGTCAGATTAGGACTCGCATTAGCGGATGTGTTGCCAGGTATACGGTTGTTGGTGGTGGGTGGAGAAGAGGAGGGCGGTTGAGGCTTGACCCCAGTAACCCCAGGTTGTGAGAAAGGCGGGGGCGGACGCTTCATTTTCGGGGTATGCGATGTTGGTTTGGAGATAGCGGTAGCCATGCTGCCGGCGCTGCTGGGCGCGAGCCTAAGAATTTGGCGTAACTAATGCGACTGATCAGAGAACCAATTTGGCGATGGTGACTGAAAGCCGATGACCGAGAAAGAATGGGATGGCCGATGCGCGAGACATGTGGGGATCGATCGGTCGCGGCCCTGCTCACCAACGCGGCGAAATTGGGGTAAAAATAGAGGCAGGGTTCCGTGACTGTCAGGGGAAGAGAGCGGAGGCGTCCATCTAACGATGTCGCTGAGGGGTGAAGGGTCCGAGGAGGCTCAAGAGGGCGGAAGTCGTGCAGAGGAGGTGATGATGCCAAGCCGCGGGCGAGACGTGACGCTGTCACATGACTGGGGTACGGATTAGGACTAGATTTGACTGATTTGAAGCCTTAGGCAGAAACATATTGACTCCATCCTCGATCTCAGTGGGGCCCTACTGACCTGTAGTCACATTCTCGATCTATGTGATCAATTGAACCGCTCACATTGTTTGTCATTATTTGTGTAAAGTACCTAGAAAGAGCTGCATTGAATTGAGATGCATTGTGACCCGTCATTGAACCTTCAATCTCACCCTGACGTATATCAAAGCGAAACAAGGAACAAGTCCTAGCCTGCCCCCCTTTTGATGGCTGGTGACAAAGGTTTACCGGGCGACGCACTGGAATAGAATGGTAAAAAACATGAATCAAGTAACCTTGTACTGAATATGAGAGTTCTTGATACATGTTAGAAAGTTGGTATATATCACACCACAGAAGAAAATACTACATTTCTTTTATGCTCGGGATAATGTGAATGCATTATAAGCTATCAAGATGGCGCGCTTAGCACCGTGTGAACCTTGTTAAATAGTAGAAGAAGGTTTCTACCCAAGGCTGCATTATGACAAATCCACCAGGAAAGTGGAAAGGAAGGTAAAAAATCGGAGGGGAATCGAAAGCACAATCATAAACGGGGCAAAGGAGTACAGTAGAACAAGTATGGACAGGCAGAAACGAACAAATATCAACATCAACATCGTTGGACGCGGAAAAGGCACTGGATTTCATTTAATCCAGGCCACGCACTCGGCGCCGCCAATCATCACCAACGCGGAGCGAATCAACTATATCGATTCGCTTTCCAATGCCGGTGGTACCCTCTTTCTGCCACCATTTCTCTCCCTTGTCGGCGAGAGCGGACTCATCGTCACTGTCAATGAGACCGCCACGACCACCCTCGTCGCCAACTACGACAATGACCTGTCGAACCCAACCGGAAATGTGCTGAACGGGGTCACCTTTATCTCCTGTCAACGATTCTTGAACATAGACAAGGTCTGGTGACAGATGGCGAACGAGGTGGACGTATCCACTGTTTGTGTTGAAAGGCATGATCATATTCTCCTTTTCAACAAGAGCCTGGGCCTGTGTATAGAGAGTGCGGAAGGAAGGTGATTGGCCCTCAAGTTCATCATCCTGTCGAGGCTCGACCTTGGCAAGATCACCGCCAACCAACTCGCCAGAAGAGTTTGCCTCTTCGGCCGCAATGTTAGAGTAGGATGAGGTGATTGACTGGGTTGCGCGCGAAGCGCTTCCTTGACCAATGGCATGCTTCAAGTTCGGGGCATAGATCAAGACAAATATGCGAGATGTATCCAAGTCCACATGTTCAGGAAGGTGAGAGAGAATAGACTGCACGTAAATAAGTCAGCAAAATTCAATTCCAAATACCAATAGAGGGCAGGGTCGTTACTCACGGCGTGTTCCGAAACAAAATCATCCGAGTCAACGGGAGTAAGAGAGGATACTACAATAACAACAGTCTTTTTCTTCTTCTCGAACGCATGTTGTCCAGGTGCGCGGCCCTGTAGTGCACCACTCATGGTTGTCTCGATTGGCTGTTGGCTTCTCTCAGTCGCCCGAGTTTGAGCCTCTTCAGACCATCTCGTATGGTCTTCAAAGTCGCCTCGGTCTCGGTTTTCCTCCTTGATAGATGTGAGTGCGCCTCCAACAAATTGACCCGCAGCAGCAACTCCAGCGACTACTTTGCGGCTTGCGCCATCAAAGATCTGTTGGGGGCTCGGGGTTCGGCGCAACGCGCCCTGCATGCGACCCATGAAGCTCGGGTCATATGAAGCGTCACCAGGAGCCATATCTCGCGTATACTCCCCTGGGGGGCCTGCGGGATAGCCCGGTGGAGGGTAAGCGCCTCCAGCAGCGCCGGGGGGGGGCGGGTAATGACCTTGTCCGTCGTCATGATGCACTTCGTCCTCCTCGTCGTCGTCTTCGTGTCGTTCACTCCAAATCCATGCAGCAATGCTCACAGCAGCTACACCCACAGTTAAAGCCAAGGGAATGTAGTACCCCATGGCAGTTCTTCCACCTGTAGAGCTGAAACCGGTGCCGGCTCCACCGCGACGACGCCGGGGGTCCTGAGGGAAAGACATTGCGATCGCGGGGGATGTCGTTTAGAAAAGGCGCATCTAGGAAATCAATCGATATCGCAAGGCCCGCAATTCACATTTCACACCTCCTGCGGGGGAGGCCAAAAGTGGATGGTTGACTTAGGATGAGAGAAAGAGAAGAAAGATGGGGGAGGGACCTCGACCCTCGGAGCACGGAAACATGTGGCTGGTGAATCTACCTAGTAACCGCGGTGTTTACACTCTGTTTGCACTGTTTGCCCCGATTTAAATCTGGAGGCGGGTCAAAGCTGACTCATCCGCTCCTATCGGCACGTGAGCGCATCTGAATCGAAAAAAAGTAGTCAAAGCAGGCGAGTCATAGAGCACCCTACAAAGCCCCAGAGCTTCAACAGAACCCAGTAAAAAGCTGCTATTGCTCACAGCACGGCATATCAAAAGTACGCGCCCTATAATTGAGCTATCCCGAGCTCCTCAAGAAAGCGTTCAGCCTATTTGTTTCGCATTCTTCCTCCGACGAGTCATACCTCCTGCCCCGCGGGGCTCATACCAAAATGGCACCCTCTATTCCTGTTCCCCAAAGCGGGTTCCAGGCCATCATCCTATGTGGTCCTGGTGTTTCTCTCAACACATTTACTGCCAACCCCGAGGAGTATCCAAAATGTCTCATCCCAGTTGGAAACAGAGTCATGCTCTACTACCCAATGACATATGCATTGCGGGCAGGAATTACCGGTATGTCCTATCGCAGCGCAGATTCTAGACCATATCCAAGAACGTCTAGAAGAGAAGGTTATTTGGGAGATTGTTTCTCACTGTACGTTTAGATATCACATTGATCACCCCTCCTACCTCCCTCGCTCCTATCCAGGCCGCTTTGCAACAAAACCCACACCTTACGGCCCTTCCATCGCCCCGTGTAATCGCCCCAAAAGGACTCGAGATGACAATGGGTACCGCTGAGCTTCTTCGTCTTCCAGAAATTCAAGCCTGTATCAAGACAGATTTTCTTCTCCTCCCTTGCGACCTCATTTCCGAAATCCCAGGAGAATCCTTAATTGAGGCTTGGATGGTGTCACAGGGTGCACTTGGAGGGAGCACATTATCGGAGGGCAAGAATGCCCATGGGCCTGTCTCTTCAGCCCCCGGTGGTGAACAAGGTGGCCGACGAGGTGGTCTTAGTGTATTCTATCAGACACAGGGTCGCGAGGAGAGTGTCAAGGGTGAATCGACAGATTTTGTCGCAGTTGCGCCGCTTGAGCAAGATAAGGATGAGGCGCCCGCGGTATCTCACTTGGTTGATGGGCCCCAATCAGTGCGATCTAATTTGTCGAAATTGGTTCTTTCTATGCCGATGGATACCCTGAAGGAGAAAATGGAGAAGGATAAGGGCTTCCTTCTTCGTCATTCTTTGATTGAACAGCATCCCAACGTGAAGATGCTGACCAGCTATCGGGATGCTCATCTTTATGTTTTCCCTTACTGGGTTAAAGAACTCGCTCGTCAGGAGAAGCTTGAGTCTGTCAGCGAGGATATTCTTGGCTATTGGGCTAAGGCTGGCTGGCAAAAGGGGCTTGCGGATAAGCTTGGCATGAAGGAGATCTTCCAAAAAGAAAGCCATGGACAACATGAGACTGGTAGCCAGGATGGCGAATCATTAGAAGATGAGATTGATCTTCGAGGCATGAGTACCACTAAGATTGGCTCTAACGTCGAGAAGCCTCAATCGCCGCCTGTTTATGCGTCCCGCGTAAAGGCATCCAACGAGTCTTCCAAGACAATTGAAGTACCGCCAATTCTCGCCTATGTGCAACGAGGATCAGCACCATTTGTCCGCCGTGTCGACAGCACCGCTATTCTACTCTCTACATCTCTCCGTCTAGCTAAGCTGGAATCTACCGAAGAAGCTGGGCGTCAAGCATCGCCTTTCGCTCACAATCAAAAGATCGCGCACCCTGACGGCGTGGCTCAACGATCTACAGTCACAAAGACTGATTGTCTTCTTGCGGAGAATGTCACTGTGGAGGAGAAGTGTGTCATCAAGGAATCAGTAATTGGAGCCAACTGCCATATTTCGACTGGTGCACGATTGACCCGCTGTCTTCTTATGGATGGCGCAACTGTTGGTCCTCGCGCTGTTCTTTCCGGATGTGTTATTGGCAAGCGAGCAAAGATTGGTCGTGAAGCACAACTCAAGGACTGCGAAGTCCAAGATGGTAACGTTGTTGAGGACGAGGCGGATGCCAAGAACGAAAAGTTCATGGTTTTTGAGGGCATTGATGATGGTGAAGCTGGGGGGGATTTTGATGACGAGTTTTAATGTATTGAGACAGAGTCTACCTTGATGCTCTTCTGTTTTTTATACCGTTATGTCTTGACGAGATAGAAATTACGATCTTAAAAAGGTTTATACCTACATAGAAATGCAATTCTATAGAAACAGCATGAAGAAACAGGAACCCACCACACTCCCATGGTTCATCTCAACCCATTCTAGTGCCCTAAATCAGAAGGCATACATACTCAAACTCTGGCACACATGTGCATATATTAGCATTCAACAGCCCAAAACTGGCCACCTGATAGGTAGCATGTATCGAACATTCTCCCCCTCAATTCGTATCCCCAGCCTTGTCGCCCCATAGTCAAAACTAAAATCATCCCCAATAACCAGGATACATCAGACAAGAATTGAGATTGAAATCGAAATTGAAACCCAAGATCATGCAGCTGAGTTGAGTTGACCGAGATTCCCAATAAGCCCAGATCCGCTCTTCGCCGAACATGCACCACTTGTATCTGTACATAAAAGCATGTCCAGTGTCACCTCTTCTGCACCGTGATCAATCTGTCGTGATACTGATGCCAATGGTTGACAACTTGTGCATCGCCATGTGACCTCTGGTTCTGGGCTGAAGTCGAGGATTTTGTCGGTTTTCAGGTCTGGCCAGCTCTGCTTATATCAAATGCCTTCTTCTTTGGTCTTTTAAATCGGCGAAGCTTACTAGTATTTTTTTCTACTGGGAAAGTCCAATTTGGATGCTTGTCTATCTGGTTATGTGAGCACTGGCATGCACGGGCTAGTGCGAAGCGTTTATCGGACTTGAGTTTAATTCTTTTTTATGCTTATACATAATACATAACATTTTGAGTAATGCTACGTCATCTTGCTTGTAACTTGAACCCGTATTTGGGAGTTCGGCGGTCCCGGGATAGACTTGGGTCTTCATTCGTCAATGGCGGGGGTATCATAGCGCGAGATACTTAGAAGAGGTATGAGCAGTAATTTGTACAGTAAATATTTAAAGTCCTTCTTTATTTACTTTCGCTGTGTATTTGAAATAGTTGTGAAGAGTGCTTCGGGTTTATTCTTATCTATACCTCTTGATGCTAGGTAGTAGGTGGTAGTTAGTGATTTAGAGTTGGCTGTACAGATATCTCTTGAAGACTCGCTATTCCTACCTACCTTCTTGGCCTTCTTTAACCCCTGTGGCTGACTTTGATTCCAAGTTCATACTGCGACTAGATATGGATATCCCAGCTCTAAAGCACTTAAATCTGTCAGCTGATTCTATTCATCGTTGTCTTTGTTGACGTGATATCTCGTTCCTGTCGTGCTACAATGTAGGTATTTGGATTTTGTCACTATCATGATGTATCTGTTCATGAGCACGATACCCAGTGTCCACATCTTCCGCGCTGATTCTTATGATGGTCCGTTCGCCTATGTAGATTACGTTGATGTCAGGATATGACAAGGCTTAGATCTCCGGACCACCTTATTGGTAGCGACGTACCCATGCCTCTTTTCTCTTTCTCACTACGGAGCACCGGATTAGATTAGGTTGCATCTATCCTCTGTTTGGTTATCGTATAGATCACTCTTTATTCTAGGAGATTTAAAATTTCACACTCTCTGTCTATGTACTGCAATACTTGTTTTCAGGTGGAGTACTTTCCCGTCAATAATGGAGTCGGTGGGGACTGGTATCCTCTACAAATCGTATGATATTCGGCTTCACTGGCTGGAACCGGTTGGAATTCGGACAAACGTTACAGTAGTTGGTTTTTTGAAGGGATTCGATGTACGTGCAGGGATATATGGAAGGAGAATCGTTTGAGTTTTGTTTATCTTGCTACAGATCTGATTCTATACTTGTGTCAGATCTATTATTGCAGGGATGGGAATACTACGCCAAGTATGTACCAGGGTATAGTCGCTTTAATCTCCTTCATCGAATTGTCAAACGGTTCTTGTGGCGGGACCTTGCGATCGAGATTTACATCTTCCTACAAGTAGATGTACCTCCGAGTCGTTGTTGGAACAGTGTCCCCGCCCTCGAGTATCGGGTTGAAGGTTCCAGTAAGTACAGCACAGCACTCTGACCTCGGTGATTGAATGCCGAGATGCAGATGTAATGATGTACGTACTTTATGTATGTACATTTGGAGCACTGAGCACGCACGGTCTCTTTGGTCTGCGCGACCGGAACTTACGGTGCGAGGCGCACAACGGTATGATCACCGCTGGCCTCCACATCTGTGCTTCCCCGGACGCAAGTCGGCTAATGTTATTTGTGGTAAGAGAGCTGATTGGATTTCGTATTTGGGTCGGTGTTTTTGTTATTTCCGACTTTTGGATTGTGGTTTTCTAACTTTCTTTGGTTGGAGGTTGGTTGGGATACTAGTACTTCGTATCTCGGGTTTGGAGTGATTTTTTCAAGATCAAGTTCGTATCTACAGTTGGTTTAAATCCAGAGACTCCACTTGCGACTTTGTTGGCTTGCGTTTTTTATCTTATTTTGCTTGAGTCTTTTTTTATTCTACCAATCCTGTTGCGTGGAACATGATGTGGTTCATGCACGGAGGAGACGCTATTTGGGGTAGGTAATTCGAGACGGAATGCTGACGGTCTCTGGGAGGGATTCCGAGTCATGCTCGTATATTCATGGGCGATCGCTCTTTTGTTTTTTTAGAAGTGAGTAGTGATTATGGTGGCCTCGCATTTTGTATCCCCGAAGACGCCATCGGGACTTCCATCTTAGCTCCAACCGCCCCTCTTTCTTTCTTTTCCTAGGCTCCCACCTGGAGACTGGAGACCAGGAAGAGTCAATAATGATGCCAGACCGGATGGAGTAGGCGCTAATGCAGGTAAATTAGACCGGGGGAGGAGGATTTTAAGGATAAACCAGTCAGGATTGCGGATCTTTATCCCGCTCGCCCCTCAAGTGGTGGGAATTTCATGGCGTGGCAGAGCCTTTCCGTTTTTTCTTTCTCGCTCACTTTTTCTCGCTCATACTCCGGACTGAACTAAAGTACACGCTGAGGCCAGTACAGGGTTGGTGCATGGGAATTTGGGGCAATGTCGATCACGCGGGAAGAGGAGTGGTCTCTTGTGTGGAATGTGGATCATGTACATACGAAGCTACCGTCGGCCACATGTGGTTTGCGGTTATTGTGGAGACCTAGAAAAATCATTTGTGCCGCGAGACAGAAAAGAGGGGCAGGGAGATAAGAATTTGAATTTGAATTTGAATTTGAGGATGAGGTTGAGGTTGGATGTATAGTGCTCTGTTTTCCGTATCTGGGGAAGAAACTCAGGTTCCAAGGATGTGGAAACACCGGTTCGATTTGAGATACGGATCATTATTTTATTTCATTTTTTGCTTGTTCATTTCATAGGAATTTGGCCTGCTTGTCTGTATCTATCCGGGCGCTCTCTACGCCAATAACGTCATGGTCGCTGGATTTTGCTTGGTGGGCGTATCAGCGTATAGGCTAGGCGATGCACTATCATGTAGGTACTCCGACTTGCATTATCTACCAAGACATGACATGTACGGATACATTAGATAGTCATTCATAGCAAACAATTTGAAAGCTTAGATTAGGGGAATGAACCACCCCGCTTGGTTCCAAGTTCCTAGTTCCTAGTTCCCAGATTCCCACGAACCAAACACAATTAGCTCTGTGTTCCTATCATTAACCGGTCCTTTTGTCTCTTTGTCTCTTCCTTTCCCGTTCAGCCTCATCCGCAATACAGTACAAGGTTACCGGTCTCCCCGACCAGATCAGGCTGATCAGACATGCGGAATTGGCCCTGGCTGAAACTCTTCCCAGATTTCGTCCTTCCTGGACCCAGATAGTTTCACCGGGTACCTGGGGGGAAAGTTGCAGACTGCGACAACCCACCGGGAAGAGGATCCATGGAACCACCTGGGCAGCTCGCTGGAAAATTCCCGAGTTTGCATTTTGGAGCTGGGGTGGATAATCATGAATCATGACAGTATGGTTATGGTTATAGTTCGGGAGCGTAGTTTAGATTCCTCCCCAGTTGAAATATTATATTAAAACATCACGCTGAAAATAATCAGCTAGAATCAAATCTCATCTTACTGATTCTCATGATTCTCTGTCCCGCACGTGCGGTGGTGCACGGAACGCCATGTCTCGCCGAGCGAGAGTGGATTCGCTGTGGCCGGGGAACCACAAAGCCCGTCGAGGAATAGCGTTGCACTTAGAGCATCGGGTGGATATATTTCGCCAATTTTACGGAGAGAGGGGGGGGGGTTTGGGATGTGGATTTATTTATGCAGCTGAAGCTATCTTAAGAAAATTGCGAATTGTATCCAGTATCCAGTATCCAGTACTATCTTCAAGTTGTAGTATCCAGTATGGTGTACATCATGATATAGTAGTAGTAGTAATGAATTATATTGCACAACATGATGTCTCTTTTGTACTGATACCATGTCTTGTTCTTTTTCTTTCTCTGTAAATTAAATTAAATTATCTCCTGAAATTTTGCTTTGACATTGCAGATCATGTAAAATCCCCTGATGGAGTTAAGAGTAGGGGGTCCATGCTCAGGTTCATTGGTGTCCGGGTTCCCCCTTAAAAGGAGTCGTGATAGTGAGAGAGAAGACTATGAAGAGTGTCAAGACTACAATAAGATCAAGAGAAAGAATATTAGCTGTTTATATTATTCTATTAATCATTTGGTAAATAAATGAAATTCAACTATACTAATTTCTATTCTGGTTGATTTATTTTATTTTATTTTTATTTTTGCCATCCCCCATAGTGTATCCCCCATACTACTGTATGTCCAAACTGCCACTCTCACCCCTCTCCCCTTCCCTTCTCTCTCCCTAATCTCTCTCTCTCTCTCTCTCTCTCTCTCTCTTCCTCCTCTTCTTCTCCATCCCCTCCCCTTCTCACCACTTCCCATCAGTCCGGCACATCCTTTGTATTAAGTGCCTTTTCAGCGGACTTCGGGGTTTTCTTCTTTTCTTCTCAATTTCTTCTTTTCGTGGGGTTCTTTTTTTTTCCATCGTGTTTTACCTTTCCCTTGTACATGGCCTAGATCGTCTCATCCACAACCCTCTGACCACCTTTCTTTTCCGACAACTCGCCTGGTTTCGAGTTCCCTGCATTCTATTGGCATCCAGCGTTTTCTTCCCTTCCATTTTGTCCCTTAATCGTTGTATCACTATACTGTTATGTCCCCCGGCTATCTAGAACAGGTATGGTTCCCCCTGGCTGACGCGTTGTTGCTCATCCATCCAACCCCCCCAACATCACACGCCACAAAAAAGAGAAAAAAAGGAGAAATTCAATTTTCATCAAAAATATCAAATCTTTCACTTGAATCCATATCCACGTTCCATTCCCTTCGAATCTCCTCCCTCTTAATGCCTATTTGCCGATTTACCGATCACGATCTCTCTCTATCCGAAGAGAACTTCAACATACTCCTGAATTCGCGACTGACACCTCATTCCTGATAGCCCTGCGTTTGACCCATCTGCCTTGACACGACATCAAGATCATCCTTTCCCTCCGCCGATTTTCGATCTGCGAGTTTCCTTGTCGAGAGATTCTCGACCGACCCGGACTCTCCTGATCCTTGATCTTCAACATTCTGGCGGAAAGAAACAATATGGCTGCGTTGGTTCAAACCATCCCGCAACAGACCGGCACCGTTCCCGTGCTCCAGACACGCCCTTCTTCCTCCTCAGGCACTTTTGCCTCTCCATCCCAGAACTCAGCCCGGTTCCAGAATATGTCGTGGACCACATTCAATGCTGGCAATTCGGGTACCTATCGAGCAGGTCAACCAGTTGTGGCTCCTTATGCGTTTACTCCAAACCAGAGTCACACATCCACTGCTCAGCAACATCGACAATCGTGGTCCCCCCATCTGCGGCCAGAACATCGTGCTTTCTCTGCCCCCACCATCCAGGGGCCGCCCCAGATGGCTCAGTCCGGGTCCAATCTCCGAGTCTCTAACCTTGCAGCTGGTTCTGTATCAACTTCTTCTTCAACCTCATCGCGTTCCCATGTCTCTCAGGATGATAGCGCCATCCCATCGCGCCAACCCAGAACGGACCAGCCGCTCCGTCCCCTATCCACTGCCAATCTCCCTACTCCCTCTGTCATGACCATATCCTCTCCTGCTGGCTCCGTCAAACCCTCTCCGAACCGCTACCGCCGTTCAAACCAACGCTCCCAATCTCCGGCTCCTCCAGCACCCCATCCTGTATCTACTTCTCCCGCCACCTCTACCACCACCACCTCTCCCACGCCCGCATCCGATGAACAGACAACTGAAACGCACACACCTCGCGCTGGTATTCCCCGGTCGAACGGTCACAATCGCTATTCTAGCGTAGATGATGCATCTCACGTAGATCGATCTCAACCAGAAGTTGCCAAGCGATATCGGAGGAGGAGCATGGGAGGCATGGATCCTGCTTCATATCCTAATCTACAACTTCCGTTGCCTTCCCCGTCTGAGCAACAACCGGCCTCTGGTCCTTATGACTTCATCGCTTTCGATACGAATCAGCGTCCTCAGTCATCCCACTCGCACCGAGGAAGCTCAGGGAGCGTTCACTCGACACATTCTTCGGCTTCTTCGGTAGGTCAATCCTTGAACATTCAATTGCATAATAAAGGGTAGCAAGCTAACGGTTTTCTGTTTTCTAGGCACGTGAACAGACCCCCGACGCCAACGCCTCTGGCAAGGCCGAAGAAAAGCGAGCGAGCAAACCGTCCCCTCTATCGCAACCGGCCTCGACCTCCACAGAAACAGAAACCCCGCCAGCCGAGCCCAAAGCCAAGGCTGAAACAAAGGCATCGTCGCCACCTGCACCTGACTCCCCTGCAGCCAGGCGCCTGGCCGAGTTGAAGAATGATTCCAAGCGCCCCGGAAAGTCACGTCTGAGGCGTGCTTTCTCCTTCGGCAGCGCATCGGAGCTTCTGAAGGCGACATCTCAAACCAAGCGCGAAGCAATTGCAGCAGAGAAGGCGCGTCGTGAAGCTTTGCGAGAGGAGCTGGGCGACGAGCAGGCCGCTATTGCCGAGCTGCAAGAAGCCAGTGGATTGGGTGAAAGTATCTATAGCCACCAAGGAGGATTCTTCTCTGGATCGACAGATGCTCTCTCTATTTCCTCCACGGCTTCATCGGCCTCCATGATGCTCCGTAAAATGGGTAAGGGTATGAAGAAATCCACTCGATCATTGGTTGGTTTGTTCCGTCCCAAGTCTGTCGCCAGCATCAATTCCGTGGAAGGCGCAAACACGGAGCCAATGGCCCTGCCTCAAATCTCAGTGGTTAATGTGGAAGCGGACCGTGAGAGCGTGGCCGTTAATTCCGATCCGACGGACATGCCCCGTGGTGGAACTGTCTTCCCCAAAGTAGAGGGCCCTGGATCTGAAGTTCGTCGCTCCACATCCATTCGTGAGAGAGAACAAAAAATTGTCTCGGACCCCAATGGAACGCGTAAAAGCATTGTTGGAGGTGACCGTGAACGAGCAGAAGTCTTGGCGGCTGTCCGGAAAGGAATCCTCAAGAAAACCCATTCCGACTACGGAGTTTCAGCACCAGCAAATGCACTGAACGGCAGCGACTCCCCACATTCCAGTGCCCCAGCCACTCCTAACGAGACGCCTCAACCCAGCCCTCGCCCAACTGAACAGGTAACCATTGCCGGAGAGGACTACTTCCTTTCTGGTGGAGGTCGATACACAAGCAGCGACGCGAAAAGCGCTCCCATTACTCCTCAGGCAGGTGGCGGCCGCAACATCGTTTTCAGTCCGCGTATTCAATTCCACGAAACATGGCCTCCTGGAGAGTACGACCGCCGTGGAGAGATCGCTACATGTAATCGTTTAACTCCTCTTCTTGCTCAGCAAATCCGAGAGGAGATCAATAACTTCAAGATGGTATGTCGAACCCCTCCCCTTAATTCCGCGGACTCTAAATAATCTAATCATTTAACAGGAGATGGAGGTCCACGAAAACTCCAAGATCTATACACACTTTATTTAAAATTGGTCAGGAATGCCTTGCAATGGCTTATCTCTCAACTTCGAATCGGCCAAGCCCTGCATCCTTGTCCATAGATCCTGCATAAAATCCGGCGACTTGGGGTTATTCTCTTATTTTATTTTCGTTCATTCACCCGCTACCGAACCGACTAGCATTTTGATCGGCTCACTTCCCATGAAACCTTGTGCCTTAATGCTTTTGTGATGCGGCGCTTACATTCAATCCCGGCTCTCGTTCCAACTTCTTTCTTTCTCCCGTCTGTGCCTCTATTGGTCTTGGAGGCCACTTGTTTATCAAAACGGTGGGGCTCGTTCCAATTCAAGCCTTGATGCTTATCTCGTTCCAACACTTGGGGTTATTTACCTCAGGCGTTGACCTAATGATTGTCTACTCCCTTTCTTCCTTGCCACCAATAGGCGCGACGGTCCTCGTTCTCGATCAATTTCTTTCTCATCTTCTGTCATTTCCGCGTGCATTCGAATCATTGTCATCGAATATCAGGAGCGTGGGCACTACTGGGCTGCTTTCTATTTTGTTTTCTAGCAAATCATTTGTCTGTGGTCATTTCTAGGCCCTCTTCTTTTCACCATTTCCATTATCATCCAGCTCGTTACAATAAAATCGAGCTCCTCTGCATTATGCCCACTTGGGATCTCATTGTTTCTCCACTTTCTTGGTTTAGTTTATTTCTTTGTCAGTAGTTTTGTATCTGTGGGGGAGGGGGGGGTGGGGGGTGTTATGTATCTGCGCAAAAACATGTACTTGTCTTGAATGGAGTTATCCATGGATTCGGTCAGGCTGAGTACAACGTAACGAGCATTATTCTTGTAGGTTGGAATGATATAGAAACCGTACGCTTGCGCGTTGCTCAACTGCCATTGTTTAACTGGAGGCCGAGGCTCAGCTCTTGAGGTGCATCCATGTACTATGTATCGTGTTATATCCAAGGTCATCACTGGCACTACCATGAAGGAGCTATCCAGTAGTCCCTCCAGGCCCCTCGATCAGCATCTCGAAACAGATCAATACCCCCCTCCACCCCATCTACACCAACCGTCCACACACCACTTTCAACCATCTCCTCCCACTGATTCATAAGTCTTTCTAATCGCTGAGATCTATGTTCCCCTCCAAACGCATAGTAACCACCATTCTGGAAGAGCTCAGTAAACGATCCAGCACTGACATGCGACCCATCGCTCTTCCTTGCGCCATTATCTCTATAATCAGGTCTCAACGCAAACGGCAAAACGAGACGAAATCCCGCTTCTTCATTATCATGCGCCCCTCGCTCTGTAGGCTCACTGTATAACCCCGCATAAATTGGGTCATTCTCATTAAAGGTTGTTTTTTCCCAGATCCTGGTTCTGCAAAACAAATGTCTGAGTTCTTCGTTGAACGGGACCGTGCGACTGCTATCCGCAGATGCAAATATTAAAACTGGCGCAACGGTTTCCCCCTCGAATGAACTGACTGGAGGTGATTTGGTGAATTGCTGTCGATTTATAAATGCTTGCTTATCGTGCGAAACGGCAAGACCTGGGGCAATCATGTTGAATCGTGGTGTTTTGATCCTCGTCAAGACAGAACGAATAAAACATTCTTTCGGAACCAGTGCAGCATCCAGATCTGCGTTTGTGAGAAATTGCGCATCTCGTGATAAATCCAATAAGGAGTCCTCTGGCATTCGAGATTCAATAGCAGCTGTGTATCTATCAATAGCAGCAACTGTATCATCAACCTGCTTTTCACAATATGTAAACCACGACCATGGACCGATCTGTGATCTAGTCTTTCGCACTTCCTCGGGAGTACCCTCATCTTCATGCGCGATTACCTTCCCCATTTTAATAAGATCAATCCAGTGACTTAATATAGTCTCTAAAGGAAACCACATATTATCATGCTCCGAAATGGGAAAAACATTATCGAAACTCCAAAGCGACAGAGTGAGCGTTGCACGATGAAGCTCCTGATCATATATCATGCCCATACAGTGTCCGCCTAGATCGGCAACAGTCCCGTATATAATCACGAATCGCTCCAAACCCCTCTCTTCAAGATTGTATTCGTCGTATAGCTCTAGTATCCATTCGTCGGCAAGTTGCGCATCTAACCCGTGCACGAAGTAGAAAAATTGATTCTCGGACTCGTAGGTTAAGTCTATGAGCTTGTTGACGGATGGGTGGAGCCGAGAGCGGAGTGCTGAGATATCGTGGTCAGGCTCGTAGCCTAGGGTTCTTGGACGCGCTGCTAGCTCGCTTGTGCTGGGGGTTTCCCAGTTGTGTTGCGCGGACCAGAGATATCCGACGATGTAGTTGTGGAGTCTTGAACAGCGGGTGTAGTCTAGGGTGTAGTCGTTTCGAGCTGGGTTTGATGGTGTGACTAGTGCATCTTCGATATCCAAGATGTCATGATGCTGTGAAGACATGTTTGATGGGGGTTTATTGATGTCTAGCGCTACGGCCCAGAGATATAGTATTAGGCGTTGGAAGAGTGTGAATCGACTTAAAAGAGGGGAACGCATGTCATGCGCTCAGCCTTCTATAGGGTCAGGACGACTAGGGTGAGATGGTCATTGGCGATAGACCAGGGGTTCAGGTGTTGAACGGTCTAGGCAGATAAAGCTAGCGGCTAGTCCGGCCGATATCCTCGGGGTTACGGGCGGATATAGCCACGCTCATTCGTGGTAAAGGAACATGAAAATTGTTAATGTTCTAGCTGCATAGCAATGAACTGATACATAATACTATTGAACCTTGGATGTGTATGTAGTGGGTATTGCAAATAATGATCGCCGGGAGAGGAATCACAGCCTTGGGGAATGCTTGATAATTGGCCCCCACACTACTGTCAACATTACGAATGTATGGATCCTTATGTGCATCTTGGTACATGGAAGATCAAATCATCGTTTATCAACTCCACTCTTTTCTCGCACTTCTCCTCTTCCATTTGTACGGGGTGCTCTCAATTCCTCTATTTATATTTCGATCAAGTCCGTAGTGCCCGTTCTCGAGATTCAAACTCTTTCATCCTATTTGAAACTTGAACCCAATTTTATCCCCCCTCCACAATCATGGTACCCACTATCCCTACAGTGAAATTTAACGATGGAGCCTCAATCCCAACTGTAATTTCCCCCATTCTCCTTCTTATGTCTTCGCAGCCTTCTGAGAGGGAAACCTGGAAAAATCACTGACTGCCTTTTTCTAGATGGGATTCGGGACAGGAACTGCATGGCTGAAGCGTGATCCTAGTGCCCCGTTGGACCGAGATCTGGTAAATATGATCAAATCTGCCATCCAGCAGGGATATCGACACCTCGATTGCGCTGAAGGTTACAATACCGAGGAAGAGCTCGGTGTCGCCATTAAACAATCTGGCATTCCGCGAGAGGAGCTGTTCGTAACTACCAAGGTTATCCAGAGCATTGACAATGTATCTCGAGCTATTGATACAAGCTTAAAGAAGCTTCAGCTTGGATATGTTGACCTGTAAGTGTTTTCTAAATTGATCTCTATATATAGCATCATGACCATGGTTCCGAGAACTGATACTAGTATTTCACAGATTCCTCATCCACAGCCCCTATTTCGCAAAATCCGACACTGAACTACAGACCACCTGGAAAGGAATGGAAGATATTAAACAATCAGGCAAAGCCAAATCAATCGGTGTCTCAAACTTCACCCGTCCCCACCTCGAAGCTATCCTCAAAACAGCAACTATAAAACCCGCTGCGAACCAAATGGAGTATCACGCCTACTTCCAACGAGCGAACAACTTTGTTTCATGGATGCAAGAGCAGGATATTACAGTCATGGCTTACTTTGGTCTTATGCCTCTTAAGCATGCTAAGAGTGGACCACTTACCGAGCCATTGGATACTATATCGAAGAACCATGGTGTGGATTCGAGTGCTGTCTTGATGCGGTGGCTTTTGAATCGTGGTATCGTTTCTATCTCTACTTCGAAGAAGACCGAGCGTGTTCAGCAGTATTTTCAGGCTTTGGGGTTGGAACTTAATTCTGAGGAGATGGGGGTTATTACGGAGGTTGGAAAGTCGTATCATTTTCGGGTGAGGTTGCCGAAGCCTTATGCGCCGGATTGGGCGGAGTATCCGGATGAGGATAAGTGGTGTGAGGAGATGTACTATTGAGTGTAGATGTTTACAATTTGATAGTTGAAGATAGGTTGATACTATTGGATATGGGAGCCGGGGGAGATTCGTGGGGTCCGGTTTATACTATAGAAGTAAGTGGTATCCATGGTATGTTGCTTGGGAGATTAAATGTATTGAATAGGAAATTGGTTCTTTTACCATTTATTATTGAACGTTTAAGATCGGCACTGCCATGCTTTCCGGTGTAGATTATTTAAGTGTGGCCATATGACATGCCAGCATTCTGAGTTTGAAGTGTAAAAAATTAACAAAGTTTGCTGAATATCGAGTTGAAAGAGACTGGTTGAACGAATCCTTCCTCCCCACGGGTGGATTCATTGCGGCGCTAAAAAGCAGATTTTTTTACCGGGATAATGTAGGTTATCCTAACAACTTCCAGTCCTGTATTGGAATAGCCTGGATTTTTTTTTTGGAATTATCCGGACTGTCTATGTTCATATGTCCATGCCATTTAAAGGCTGTTCTCCGGAGTGTATCCATGTGATAATAGGGTGAGTCCTGCTGATTTAGTCGATGTATCAGTTTTAGCACCGGCAATGTCACTCTGAAGAGCTGTTTAGCCATGTTCAGTATAATACTGTAGGTATATGGTGAGCAAGGAGGCCAGGCTGGGAAGTAGAATCAAATATATCAGTTTTAGTAAGTAGAGAGAAGAGAAGATTCATCAAAGATCACCAAAAGCCACCACATGCATCCACCCCGGAACCACCGCACTCCAAAAAAAAAAAACCACACTACGCACCAACGCTTCTAGAGATCTAGCGACCTAGATTAAGTCTCTGGTGATGTCTCTCCTCTCCCACCGTAGGTCTGGTGAGGGTATTCGGTTTCCATGCAAACTCCATAATCCATGCCAATCGCAATAAAAGAAATTGTAGTGATAAGTGTTCAAGTGTTATCCAACTGGGTTCTTAGACACTGACACCAGGGAAACAGTCGGCCATGCCCTTGGAATGCTTGTTGGTGGCGTGCTCAAGGAGACTAAAGAATCAAATGAGATCGGGTTAGTAGTGGTCGAACCCGAGTAGATGCGATAAGGAATTGGTATACGCACGCAGGACCCTTAGTGGTCTGGAGGAAGGTTTGTTTGCAAGTTTGACATTGAATACTCATGGCTTGCTCGTTCTATTCGTGGATTCCGATGTTAGTGGCACAGACTTTGTGGATAGAGGGTCAAATTGGGCAGGACACCACAGGTGCCATAGGTATAGACTTACAGTCTTTTTTTGCGACTTAGGACCAGCCTTAGCGTCCTTTGCGTTGCGCTCACGCTTCATGTTGGCCTTGGCACCCTGCAGAACATTGTTAGATTATGGCGCGCATAGTGAGGGGAGGTGGAGCGCAAGGAGACGCTCCGCCAAATTGGTTTTTTTTTTTTGGCGGGGAGGGGATGGAGGGGTAAGAATTTGAGGGGAAGAATGCGTACGTTACCCATTTTGGCGAGAGTGATGAAGTAAAGATTGACTTTAAAACGAGAGGAATACAACGAGCGAGAGAGAAAAAAACGAAGGCGTTGGGATGTGGAGAAGGAGGAGAAAGGAAGAAGGTGGAGGGAAGAAAGAAAAATAAAAATCCAGTCTTAGCCAGTCCCGATCCACACTCACAATCAATTTCCCAATCAGTTTTCTTATCGGGCACAACACTAACCCACTCCACGCTTTATCGGGCAATCCGTGTCGATCCTCGACCCAATCATGTGCACCGTGGATTGCTTTTCCTACCTCCTGCAGCGCCCACTTGAAGAACTTCTTTATTCCCCCTCCGATCCCTTTTTGGACTTCTCCTTCCACACTGCACCTGGTCTGTTTAAGAACTGAAGGGCCTCCGATGCTATTTCCAAGTCAAACCCATTCGTGGGAATCATCTAAATTGCGGTACTATGGCTCATCCAACATCCAGAGGAGCATATCCGCTTCCGGGTGCCTTTGGGACATCTAGGGAACGCGAGTCTTTTAGGTACGTGACATGTCTTGAAATTCGACCTCTGGACCTCTTGGCCTTGAGTGAATAGAACAGAGTTGAAGGAAATGGAAGGGAAAGACTGGAATGGGTGATCGCCAGTCGACAAAGCTGACCCCGTGACTCGTACATTTAGGTACCTGCCTCCGTACCATCTGCAAGCGCAACCCCTTCCCCATATCGATCAAGACACCCAACCCACGCCGTCTGTTGCCCGCTCCTCGCTGGATCCGGCTTTGACCTCATTCGCTCAGCTGGGCACTTTCCGGTTAAACGCCAAACGGACACTGATTTCGCTATTTGGCCGAAGTGCACAGTTCGTACTCACCGAGGCCACATCTAATCTGGGACTGAGCGGTGACCCCAGTGACAATGAGCGCCAGGGGTTATGGATTGGATGTTGCACGGTCAACTATCAGCGTAGTCTGTGCAAATCTTTGGTAAAGCATTCGCAGACTACGGGGGACATTTATCAGCCGTTAGTTGTAACGGATTTGAGTCAAGACGACGAGCTGAAAGATCATACAGATGTCGTGAACCAGCCCCATATGCGCTTTATGGCGTGTAGTCCCATCGTGAGCCCAAAGGGGATATTGATTGGATCTTATACGGTGTTGGACGACAAGCCTCACGACCCATTGGATCATGGCTCGATGAAATTCTTGACTGACATCGCTTGTACGGTTATGGACCATCTAGATGCAACTCGATCTCGACATGACTATCTTCGAAGTGAACGAATGATAGTGGGACTCGGAAGCTTTTTGGAAGGAAAAGGCTCGCTGCGCAACGCGTGGATTCATGAGCATGAGAGTGCTTTTACGCCAATATCCCCGGGCGAGGACCTTGACAGAGAAGGGCATATCAATCAAGCGCAGCAGCAGAAGCAAGTTCTTGAGCATGACTTATTGGCTACAGCAGCCCACAACAATCAAATTGAATTGCCGTTCCGCCCACAAAATTTCGACACCACCCGAAGCCAGAAGCCAATAAGCCTCGGCACGCAATCAAACCTTTTGGCCACCTCAACTATCGAGTCGCGGGATTATTTTTATCCTCGACATAGACGTGGATCCCATACGGCCATCGCGCCATCATTCAAGGGGTCTCAAAAGCAACCGCCGAAAGCTAAACATGCTACCAAAATAAAAGAGACATTCTCTCGCGCTGCCAACATCGTTCGTGAGAGCATGGAGGTGGAGGCCGTTGTTTTCTTCGATGCCAATTTCCGTTCCCCACATGCCTTGGTGAAACCTCCCAAGAATGACGCTGACAGTGGTAGTAACTTGGAAAGTTGCTCCTCTAGTGAGGAGGAAGCAAAGGGCCGTGGAATTCCTCCACTCCAAGAACTTTCAAGTGGTCCAGAGCCTAAAAATTGCGGCAAAGACTCTGTGGACCCTTGTGAGATACTTGGATTCGCGACATCGGAGGTCTCTAGCGTGAACAAGGAGCGCCTGACCAACAACACTGTAGCAATATCTGAAACTTTCCTTGCGCAGCTTCTACGCCGGTATCCACGAGGCCGGGTTTTTAATTTTGGCGCCGATGGGTCTATCTCATCAGATGATACGAGTGATGGCAATCTCCCACGGAATGGAGCCAAGAAGTTTAAAAGAACTCGAAAGTCGTATCTACGCCAAGATGGGGCGACTCTCCGACAACTCGCCCCTAACGCTCGTAGTATCGTATTCTCTCCACTCTGGGACTCGCACAAAGAGAGATGGTACTCGGGTTGCTTGACATGGACAAAGGCCCCTTACCGTGCCCCCACTACAAACGATGACTTGGCTTTCTTGTTCGCATTTGGGCACAGTTTGATGGCGGAAATCCATCGACTGGGTGCTCTATTGACCGAGCGAGCGAAATCGGACTTGCTGGCGGGAATTTCTCACGAGCTTCGATCGCCTCTCCATGGAATTTTTGGCACAGTGGACATTTTAAACGATACTGCCATGGACGTCCTGCAACGCGGATTTATGCATACCATTTCATCTTGTGCTTTTACGCTTCTTGGGTCAATAGACCAACTTTTGGAATATGCCAGTATCAATGATGTTCAGCCCAAACCGAAAAATGCAGAACCCCGAATTCCAAGGAATCTTGCAACGGCAAGCGATGGAGAATCTCATGGAGAATCTCAACTGAAGAAAACAGACCAATATTCCATTGTTCAGTTGGATGCTGTCGTGGAAGATGCCATTGAAACGGTTTTTGCAGGATATTCATTCCTCAAAGCCACGGACACACGAAACCCAGTACCATCCAACGGCAGCGCCTTTAATCCTTTCGATTTTGAGGATAATGTCAAGGTCGTTCTTGACATTGATCGTTCCAAGAAATTGAAGTTTGCCGCTCGTCCCGGGGCTTGGCATGTTATTCTTACAAATTTCTTCGGCAATGCCTTGAAGTTTACGGAAGAAGGATTTATATATGTTTCTCTCAAAGCCGATCCGGTCAAGTTTGATGCCGACGGTGAAGCTCTGCAGTCAAAAATCACGTTGTGTATCAAGGATACTGGATGCGGAATGGAAGAAGAATTCCTCAAGAACGAATTATTCACTGCTTTCTCGAAAGAAGATAAACTTACCATTGGGAATGGCCTTGGAATCAACATCGTCAACCGTATAGTATCATCACTTGGTGGTGAAATTCAAATCACATCGCAAAAAGGCGTCGGAACAGAGGTTGTGACGACTGTGACACTGGACCATGTTTCTCAGGATAGTCTTCCACTTGGTAGTTCCAATAATGAACCATTCTCCCCAGCCACGAGGGCTTTTGTGAATGAGAAAACTATCGGCATAATACTTCATACGACATCTGATGGGGATGCGGCGCTACTTTCAGCTACTCATAGAGTGTGCGAAAACTGGTTCCAGATGAAGGTCGAATTGGTCGATCCATCTGACATACACCTTGGCCATTGTGACTTTTACATTGCCCTTCATGAATCTCTGGCTTTAGGAAATCATGGTATCCTGCCCATTCGCAATCGTTATCGTGGTCGAGCAAGCCCGCCAGTCATTATCATCTGTTCCTCTCAAAGGATTGCGCATGAATTGGCGTCCCAAGACCGAAAGAACTCAGGAGTCTTCGAATTTATCAGCCAGCCTTGCGGGCCTTACAAATTAGCAAAATCCTTGGAGATATGTGTCCAACGCCAGTTGCTTCGCGACGACTCTTCGCATCGATCTCCATTCGCCCCGAGTCCTAATTCCATGGCGTCAGATATTCAGTCCTATGGCAAAATGATTCAAGATTCAACTTCACACAATATGTCGCTTTTGAATACTCCGTCGGGGCCGTTAAAAACCCTCCCGAAAGAAGCGATCACCAATTCTCTAACCCCACCCGCGTTCCTCGTCACCCCGGGATGGGACCAAAATGCGGCCGCTGAGGATTATCTTTCTGTTCAACCTTGCCATAGGATCATCCCTGGGACAATCCTCTTGGTGGATGATAACGAGATCAACATCAAGATTCTGGTGGCTTACATGAAGAAATTGGGCTACTGCTATGCTGCAGCACGTAATGGACAAGAGGCCCTTGATTTCTTCAAGGCGAACGCACGTGTTGTTGAGGTTATTTTGATGGGTACGTTTCGAATTTATACCCTTTTGATTTCTTTTTTACTCATGCTGATCTAACTTGTTAACAGATATTTCAATGCCTGTTATGGATGGGATCGAATCCACTCGTCGAATCCGCGAATTTGAAAAGACTGTTCAGGATAAAGAACGGACTTTGATTATCGCATTGACGGGCGTGGCGCAAGTGGAAACCGAACGCGCCGCTGTTGCGTCTGGGATGGATACATTCTTGACCAAGCCCGCCCGATTGGATAGCCTTTTGCCGCTTATAGAACCACGACTGCCGCGACCAGAGACGGGGAATGCCGGGAGGTGACATTTGCATTTTTTGAGTACACGAGCCTGGCGCGTATATATGAAGTCCACTTTTTTGATACCATTTTAAACGACTATTTATACATACTATTGAATTTCATTTCACTTTTGGATCGGTTGGAAATTACAAGATTGCATAAATATCTCACTTTGGCATGTTAGAACTAGATGGGAAGATGAATATAGCCGGGGGAAATTTATCTTGAGCTCGCTAAATGTGCAATAAGGTCATGTTGCACATTCTCCAAGCCTTAGCGTAGTCTTGGCGATGTCATACGATTTGCCTCATACTAGTATCTGCGCACCGATATCGAACCATTAGAGTGGGAGACAAAGTATACCCCCACGCTAGCAAGGACACCGAGACTTGCACGGAGTATCTCCGCGGCTCCCAGTCGAACTCGAACCCCCAACACAAACAGGCGATCTTTGCCTCTTTTCTCCTCTTATCACAACGGGCCGGGGAATGGCCACAGGCATCTCGCCCGTGTTAACCTTGGCAGTACACCTGGTCCCCGCGATAGCCTGTCGTGGCCGACACCGACACGAGAGTTTTCCCATCCAAGACTACCTTTCGGTATCTAGGTCGGCCTTTTTGTCTCCCGATCTCAACTCTCTCCTACCCCCACGTCTGCCAATGTTCTTGGACCCTGACTTTCCCAGTATCAAACATAAATGAAGACTTTCTGCAGTCCTCGGTGGGTCGCGACGGACTCGGACTTTGTGGGGTTACATTACACTCGGGACCCGCTTCCCCATGTTCTCCGGGTTTTCTCCAACCTTTTACCCCGAGATTTCATCTTTTATCGTAGGATTGTAGTGCTCCTGGTAATTTCCATTATTGCTGGTCGACCCCCACTCGATCTCGTGAAGCTGAGCTAGTGACTGGACCCTGAAATAATATTTTTTGGAAAAAAAGAGCGCTAGCCAGCTCGTGCGTCTTGCTTTTATCCGTGCTGAAAACAGTCTGGGCTTTGGTAACTTGCGTCCTTCCTCATCTGATCTTCCTTCTTTTCACATTCCTAACTCTTCACCTTTTTTCATGCTTTAATATCCTGCAACCTCCTCCCGGCTCTATTCCTGAGACCAAGTCTTTGTTCTTCTTTAGTTCTCGCGTCCTTGCCTTGACAAGGGTGATCCTGCTTCCCATCCGCTCCACTTCCCCCCGTTACACGAAGAACCAACACAGGATGTCCCCTGAAGAACCAGATAATATTGAGACGGGGATTAGCAAGGCACACGTGGACAATGTGGAGATTGTTGCTAATGCCGCCAAACCCAACCCGCGCAAAGAAGCACCGCCTTATGTCGCTGGTTTAGATCCTGAAGAACGAATCCGAGCTGAGAAGGCTTTGGTTCGCAAGATTGACCTTCGCCTTCTGCCTATGATTATTATCATGTATATCCTGAACTATCTGGATCGGAACAATATTGTGGGTTCTATTTGTATCTGTCAATAATTTGTGGACTGGATCAGTGGTACTGACTTTGATAAGGCGTCTGCTCGTTTAGCTGGTTTGGAGTCGGATCTAGGTCTTCATGGAAACCAGTATGCGGTTAGTTATGCGCGATGACATCTGACTACTTTGATTTATACTTATACTGTGGTTTTACTGTGGTTATAGACCTGCGTTAGTATCTTGTTCGTGGGTTACCTCTTGATGCAGAGTAAGTTTGAAACCACGAGAAAGCTCGACAGTTTTCTTCGAAACTAACAATCGTTACATGTAGTTCCATCAAACTTGATGTTAAACAAGTTTGGAAAACCTGCCATCTACCTACCCGTGGCTATGGTCACCTGGGGTATCATTTCGGCAGCTACAGCTGCTGCCCAAAACTTCGCTGGTCTTGTCGTAATCCGATTCTTTCTGGGTTTTATTGAGGCTGCCTACTTTGTGAGTGACGGTAATGCATTTTGACACGATTTTCGTTGCTAATTATTCTTACTAGCCCGGATGTCTCTACTTCTTGAGTGCTTGGTATACCCGTAAAGAACTTGGATTTCGCACCGCAGCCCTTTACTCCGGTTCTTTGCTCTCTGGTGCCTTTTCTGGACTTATTGCTGCCGGTATTATCAACGGCATGGAAGGTGCTATGGGTCTCCGAGCTTGGTAAGATAGTCTAATGTTTTGTTATGAACTACATTCATCTAACATACAGTATAGGCGATGGCTGTTCATAATCGAGGGCGCTGTTACTATCGTAGTCGCCTTCGTTGCCCTTTGGGTTTTACCTAATTTCCCCCGAACCACACCTTGGCTTTCAGAGGAGGAAAAGCAGTTGGCTGTCTGGCGCTTAGAGGAAGACATTGGTGAAGATGATTGGGTCGACAGTGAACAACAGTCGTTACTGCAAGGCGCAAAGCTAGCATTTGTCGACCCCAAGACTTGGATTTTGGTATGTCATGCAGCTCACAGACTCAATGCTATGATATTGAAAAGAACAACTTTGCTAATGAATTATTCTTACTAGACCCTCCTGATTTTGGGTATCGTTTCCTCTGCTTCCGTCACCAACTTCTTTCCCACCGTTGTCAAAACCCTTAACTATGGCAACATCGAAACGCTGCTCCTTACCGCACCACCATACTGCTTAGCCGTCATCTGCGCTTTCGCTAACGCATGGCATGCCGATCGTACCGGGGAACGATACTTCCATATTACACTTCCTCTCTATATTTCCGTTGCAGCTTTTATTATCGCTGCCTCTACCACTGGCACTGGCCCTCGCTATTTGTCTATGATGCTGATGGTCCCATCTTTCTATTCTGGATACGTCGTGGCTCTGGGATGGATCTCAAATACCCTGCCCCGTCCTGCAGCTAAGCGTGCTGCTGCTATTGCCTTGATTAATGCCATCAGCAATTCTAGTAGTATCTATGCTAGTTATATGTACCCTGACAGCGATGCTCCACGTTTTGGTAAGTTTTCATGTTCCCAGCCTTTCTTGCTCTCGTCTTTATATACTGATCGTCTGTGTTAGTTCCCGCCATGGCTGTAAATTGCGGTACCGCATTCATGGCCATCGTAGCGGCTACGATTCTTCGGTTCATCCTCGTCCGCCTCAACAAGAAGCTCGATCATGGTGAGGAGGTTGAGGGTGCCGTTCTTGGCCGCGCTGGAAGTCGTGGCTTCCGCTATCTGGTCTAATCCACGTCTGAATATTGACTACTGCTATGGTTTACGAAATGATGTGGGGGATTTCGCGATTGATGAAAACGAAAGTATCTTGATATTTTCAAAAACTAGGGCATATAGTATGCTATTTTAGCTCAATTGAATATTTCACGCAAACTCGAGTCGTTTTTCTGTCCATACTGGTCGAAGACTTGCATCGTTGATCTGGCGAGTATTCAATGAGCTCCCAGCAGCATAATTAACCTTCCAATCAACAGAAATGCTACCTCCTTCTTCAGACTGTGTCCAAACGGCAACAGCAATCGTATTCTCACCACTATAATCCAAAACACCCGGCGGAACAGGGAACTCAACCTGATTTCCAATATAAGGATTAAATCGTCCATACTGGTACCCGTTAACAAACAGCTGTGCGCGATAGGTAAGTGCCGAGCTAGACGGTGTTCCAAGAACAAATGATATCGAAATATCATGATCAGAGGGCAGATCAAGCGAGACAGTCGTGCGGAAAAATCCTACAGTCGCCCCGCTAACACTTAGTGATGAACCCTTCACGCTTGTCCATGATGATTCTTTGTATCCTGGTAAATGCCATCCGACACGTTCGCCGTATAGACCGTCTTCATTGTAGACGCCGCGCACGGGGTCAAGGTTACTTTCTCCACCTGCTGTTCCGGCTAGGCGCCAGTGTGTGAAGCCGGTTGAGTCGGTGAGTTTTGCGTCTAAGATTCCGCGGGGATTTAGAGCACCTGTTGTTTCGTCGTGGCCTGTGTCGTCGTGGACGACTAGGAGAATGTTTGGCTTGGTGGTGTGTAGGGTGACGTTTGTGAAGGGGAGGGTGAGACTGGCTTGTTCTGCTGAGTCGTTGCCGTAGAAGGAGCCTAGGTGTTCTCCGTTTAACCAGGCGGTCCAGCCGCTGGGAAAATATTAGTCATTGTAGTGTCTAGGGGGGTTGAAGGGTTGGGTAGTCGATCACTCACAAAGCTGTTCCTCCTTGGACGTTTAGGCTCACACCTGAGGCGCTACCGTTGAAGTATCCGCGCCAGAGACGGATTCCGTTGTGGAAACCTAACGAGGTCAGTGTTAGATGAATTCAAGGAACTATATGTGTTGGGACTTGGAGACTTACCGTATTCATCTGCGTATAGGACTGGGAGAGTTGTAGGAGTCCTGGGATTGAGTGTCGTCATATGATCAGCATCTAGATAGAGAATAGTTAGATAAGATCAATGGGTTTCTTCAAGGCATCTAATCCAGGTATTCACTAACCAACCCAAGCAGCACCAGAGTCATCATAATCAGCGAATCGCTCTGGTAAGCTGTCTTTTGACTTCCAGGAAGTCAATTTCGGTAACGTGACAGACTTCGATGCGGAGAGTGAGCCTTTCAAACTGCCATATGCCGTTCGGCGAGTAGAGATCTTTTCGCCGTTCCAGGTCACAGATGTAACAGCCTTTGGAGCGAAGATCTCCAGCGTGGTGGAATTGACGATGTCACCTGTTACGGCAAGCTTGGATCCGGATCGACTGGCTCCACGGACGAGATAAGGGCCTTGGACGAGAACTAACTCATTGTTAGCGTGAGTGCTCGGCAGAAAATTTTGGATTGGGAAACATACCATTTTCTGTCTCCGGTACAAATGGACTGGTAGTGAGAGCAGGAGCCCAGAATTCATAAGCGTATGTCCGATCCAGAAGGAGAACGCGGATCCCGTCAATCTCCAAAACACTCATACCGTAAGACTGAGTGAAGGTTGCTGTGAGACCCCCGTGCTCTTTGATAAACTTAACCTTTGAGCACCCTTGGCATGAACTGATCGATCCCTTCTTTGCGCCTTTGATATTGAACTCCCCAGACTCTCCCGTGGGAACCCAAAGAGCTAAAGTCGGGACACCATCCAAGATGGAATATGTCAAGACCTCCGCAGTCGAGTACAGCAGCTTCGCAGATCCAAATGTGAAATCCGTGACGACAATCTTAGACTGATGTCCATTGAGACGAACAACGCCTCCATGGCTGGGAACAGTCAATGCCCCAACAGAGGTATCCACCTTGATATGGAAAGCCTCATTCGTACCGTTCGAAGTAGTCACATGGAAAGCCGCATAGAATCCAGCATTCGTGCTCGGGTTCCGCAACTCATACGCTCGTACAGCTGAGTTATCAGTATACTGAGTCCCATTACCAATCAGATCAGTCATAGTCAGATCCTTAGCGCTACGTGTGAACAGGGCCAAAAGCTTGGTCTCGTAATACTTCGATCCAATCGATCGGTCTTCTGAAATAGGCGAGGAATAGTCGTAACTGCTTGCTGTTACTGGGGCTGCGATACCGCCCCAATTCGTTCCACCGAAGATCATGTATAGACTCATAGCTGTGACGCGCTGCCCGATGTTCCAGCGGTAGAACAGGTTGGCGAATTCGGCGCCTGTATCGTCGGGACAGCCGCCTTCTGGGCCTCCCCAGGGATTGTAGGAGCCTCCCTGGAATTCTGGCATGAATTCAGGAAGTGTGGGCTGGTAGTCTTGGAAATAGTCGTAGTAGTCTACTACTTGGTATGCTACGTAAGCACCATTGGTTGAATCACAGACGCTGAGGTCGCAAGTCCAGCACTAAGATTTTGATTAGTATCGTTTTTTGTGCTAAGCAAGAATTCATGTATAATGGTGCGAAGAACTTACAGATGGGTATGAATCCACGCCGGCGATATCGACATTACCTCCCTCGTTGGAGAAGTCACTTCCCCATGAGTGTGAGTTCATGTTAGGATCATTCGATGTCAACGGAATCTTGATTCCATTTTGACGGGCATTTTCTTCAAGGAGCTCCATGTATGAAATGGCAGTCTCGTTAGGAGTCTTTTCTGTGGTGGAAATCCACTGATCACCGTACTCGTTCTCAATCTGATAGCAAATCGCATTTTCTCCTTCAGTAACTTGGTACCGACTGGTAATCTTCGACATCTCCGTAAAATAAGGCGTCCACGCTTTTGTATAGCGGGTATCGTTATTGCGAAGACTGCCATAGTCTCCCGTCGTCAACCAGAGGGGAAACCCACCAGCTGTGGTCTCAGCATTGATGTAGGGACCCGGGCGCACGATGATGTATAGCCCAATCTCCTTGGCGAGCTCAAAGAGTGGAGTGATGTCGTGAGCGCCCGTAGAGAAATCCAAGGTCTCGTTGTTTGGTGCATGGTAAGCCCAGTTGGAATAGAATGAGAAAGCAGTGAAGCCTGCAGCTTTAACCTTCTCTAAAATATCTCTCCATAGCTCTGGAACGGGAATTCGCCAGTAATGGAACTCTCCGGAGAAGATAAAGATCCGCTGTGTGTCGATTTGGAAGCTGTAATGGTCCCATTCTACGACTTTGTTGTATCCGTCGTTGTGTAATGGCCATTGAGTCACTGAGTCCTCGGCAGTAGATGATAAACAGAGGAAGAAGAGGGAAATCCACAAACTGTGGAGTATCCTTCGTAGTCCTGCCATTTTGTACCAAGCTCAAACGTGGGTCCGTCTTTAATTTGTTTCCAGGCCCGAGCCGACTCTCAATGTCGAAAGTTAGGAACAATCAACCCGACATGCTGGAAGATAATGATCTAATTTATATCAATACTTATCTCGGATATATGGCCGGTAATTTTGAAGCCTTCGTGCCCGCACAAGCCTCATTTCAATTGGTAGTATCTCCGATTTGTAGAAATCTAAGCGAAGCTCCACGCTCCATCTCCCCCGCATGAAGTGGGACCTGCGCAACGACATTTTTCCTCCATTCAGCTTGCTAGTAAGGGTCCGAGTACGAGTTTAGTCCATATTATGGGAGTTAATTGAGCCATCGCGGGAAAACATTCATTAATCATTAATATTATCTAACTAATTTCCGCGCCCATTTAACTCAATGTAAAACGTTAGCTCGTCAAATCCACCGCTTTATCACCAGATTGGGAACATAGACGCCTTTTCCGAGAACTGTCGGGGCAACTAACCGAAATAAATAGAATAGAATAAACTATAATAAAAATGAAACAAAACATGCGAACTCCCCTCCATGCTATGTATTAAATGTTGTATTTGAAGTCCTTTAGTACTCCTCTTCCGAGACAGCAAACTTACTCATAGAGCGAAGCTTAGCTCCATAGAAGTAAAGCAACCAGATACCAATGATTCCAATGACACTAAGTCCACCAAGAAGACTAGTGCCCTTTGCAACGCCCAAATTACCGAATAGCGGGTGTGCAAAAAGTACACTTCCGCAGGCTAGCGCACTTCGGAAGAAATCATTGGCAGCGAACAGACTAGCAGCGTACTTCGGGTAAGACAATGGAATGTAGACGAAAATACACTGCATAATGACGAAGACTGTAGCGCCGTAGATCGTGATGCCGATTGTTGGTACGATCCAGTGGATCGATTCACGCGCTGTCCAAGCAAATAGGAAGAGACCGATTGTGGGGCCGAAGGATATAGGTAGAGCTGGGAGGAGACGGGATTCTTGGACTGGCCATCCGAGGCGCGCAATGCGAGGGTTCATCCAGAAGTAGAGGTAGGCCCAGTATCCACCGATGCCAATAATGCAAGATACCATGATACAGAGGAAGACTAGACCGATTTGGCCGAGATTCATGCCGTAGTCGACTGGGTAGACCAGAGGGAACACTTCGAAGAAGGAATAGTAGATTCCGTAGATGATTGCGGTGTAGATCTGGACGAAGAGCACGGCTGGGTCCTTGATTGTGATTTCCATTGGCTTGATCAGAGCGTCCACGACAATGTCTGAGACTTTCATGTGTTGTTGGTCGATTTCGGATTGAGACATGAAGCGCTTCTCGTTGTAGATCTTGCGGAGACGCTGGGCGCGACGGAGCAGGATGGTTGGGGTGCTGGTCTCTGGGAGGAAGAGAAGCATGATGATGAAGACTGGGGCGGAGGCCCAGATTGATTCGAAGAGGGACCAGCGCCAACCTTCAACGGGGACAGCGAAGCCGCTGAGGAGTGGGCCTAGAGCAGCTGTAGAGCATAGAGATATGATGTTAGTCTCAGTCTCTGCAGGGAAAATCAATAATCAGGTTCAACTTACGTCCACAGTATGCAGCAGCAACCCATGCCATCATAGCATACGGTAAAGCGTTGAAACTGTACATATCGCCAATGGAGGCACCACCAGATGCAAGGCATGGCGAGCCGAAAAATCCCTGAAGGAATCGGAGGACCATAAGACCAGGGAAGTTTTTCACGAATGCCGTTGGAATGGAGATGATCACGAAAAGGAACATGGTGATGATGTATACTGGGTTTCGTCCAATAATAGGGATTTCACTCAGAGGAGAAAAGATCAAAGGCCCAGTACCATACCCAAGAACGTAAAGTGACAGTCCCAGAGTAACGACTACCTCTCCAACTCCAAATTCTGCCATGATGCCTTGCTCCGAAGCAGTGTAAATAGCTGATGTTGTATAGACGACAAATGTATAGAGACAGATAATCGTTGCCATGAGAGCGCGCTTCAGATTAGACCAATTATGAGGATTCTCCGCATCATCCGTATAGTACCAATCAACAAGTATAGCTCCATTTTTTGTCTTCTTGGGGGTGATTGGGATGGACTTGATTTTCTCGAGGTCCTGATTGTTTGCTTCGGTATCTTCGTTCAATGTCGAAGTATGACTGATAGCGTCGCTTCCTTGACTGCTGCTTGGCTCTTCGGATTTTTCCTCTTCATTTTCGGCCCCAGAAACATTAGGTTTGCGGGGAGCATCACGCTCCTGCATAATTTTGATCCATGTTTCGGGAAGCTCGAAACCGGGCTTTTCTTCGGGATATTGGAAGTACTTATTTTTCGTGAGATACCGGACGATCTGACCCAACGGGGCTTCTCGAATGACAGCTTCCATTGTAAGCAATAATTCGAATAATCTTGATCGATTGCTTATTGTGTTGTGAAGGATCAATTAAGATTAAGCTGTTAGAGTTGTCGGATCTTGCTGCCGATCGATGACGAAGCTTGATAGTGGCAAGAATGGTTCAAAACCACCGAAACTGCTTCAAAATGACCCTTTAGAAGATGGATGAATGCAATTTGATTTTCCTATTGGGGCAGAGAAACGGGGATTTATATAATGTTAGTCTGAATAATACCCTGCTTAACAATATACGGTGATTATGGATTTAAGGCCGACTCCGACATGTGGATGCGACTGGGCAATTTCTAATAACATTCCGGCTTTGACCAATCATATCTATCCACCGTAGCCTCAGGTTATAAATCAAAATTCATTTGCAATCCTTGGCGATATAATCCAACAACATCGCGCTTCGAGCACGTCAGTTCCACTTTGAAAGCTCGAATTGCCCCGAGCCCGAGAAGCTGTGACCAATGGGAGACTTTGGATTCTCATATCAGTGCAGGAGCAGTGCAGGATAAGTCCAGGATCGTGTAACTATGTATGGACGCCTTACTGCATTCAGGCGGATACGAGCTATTACTCAGCCTGTAAGGCCGTAAGGGTTAGCATGCAAAAAAAATATTATTCAAGGCCATGGATTTGTCGACCACGTTCCATGGGTTAAATGTGATTCATAACCGTCTTTCGATCGTTATCTCCGGATCGGGAGTAAGATCTTAGCCCCGGAATCTTCCAGATCATTGTAGATGACGGTGAGAGACTCAACGACCAGTGGAGATTGGGTAGTTCGAGCTTATTACCAGCGGTTAGAACCGATTGTCACTAGTTATGGTGATCTGATGCGAGACATTTGAGACTTGGAAAGTACATGTATCGTGGTTGGTGGTGTCGAGATGTGGTGACGGTGGTGGTTGACGTGATTAATAATCTGTAATTGTGGTCTAGCCCGCTTCGGTGTTTGCTTCAAGCACCGAAGGTATCTTAAGGTTATTTTGTCTATGAAAAGAAAAATGAAGAGATGAAGAGAAACGAGGAAAAAACTCTAAGATTACGATAGAGGTTGTAAAATAATGATTACTTTGCAGGGATTTGGTGTTACCTTCGAATGCAAGGGACGGTCAGAGCTAAAAATCAGGCTATACTTCATGTATCAAATTCTTATGCTCATCGACCTTTATTTACTATATTGTAGTAGTACGCATCTTATTTTCGGTCTGATAACAGGGCTCTCATCAGTTATTTACTATTGGAGGGAATAATCTCATATATAGGCATTGATCTGACGTATCATATTTCGTTTATAATATACAATCCAACCGCTTTGGAAAGCAGTGTAGCTATGTCCATGCAAGCGATTCCGAAATAACAATAACACAAAAATCGCTTCCATAATATTCCACTCCAACTAGATATATCATGGATAAGTAGTAAATGGCCAGAGATTCGAATCGATTCAACAAGCTGCCAAAAAGCCCAAATGGCGAAATAAAGCACAAGGAAATGTAGTAACGTAACCAAACCAAGTCACTCACTCACTCAGATCATATACCGAAAGGGAACAAAAAACTTCTTTTTATAACTTCGAACTCCAAGACTCCAATAATTAATGCGGAAAACCCAAGATTAATCTTTCAATCAATCAAGCGTTATTGCCCAAAACTCCGAACGGGTTCTGTCCGTTTGTCTCGGAGGCAGGTGATGGACTCTCTTGTGTTCCCTTGCTTTGCTTCTTAGCGCCCTTCTTCGAAGGCACGGTGGAGAACCCGTCATCTGAGCTTGACTGGTTGGCATTAGCATTAGCTGCAGCGGCGGCAACAGCCTTGGCCTTGTTGGCAGCAGATGAACGTGTTCGGACGGGAGAATCCTGAGTAGCATTCTGTTCCACGATCTTCTGCACGTGGGCCTTAATGACCTCGTCATCGGTGGCCTCGCTGTTCTCACCCTCGATAGCGTATTTTTGAATCTCACGGCTCAATCCCTTGAGAGCATCCATACCAGCCTTCTCAGCAGCTTCGTAGTGGGTGGACTGCTTGATTCCAGGGTCCTTGCGCTTCAAGTATGAGCGCACAAAGAAGCGCGCAAAGAGGTAGGTCAGAGGCAGTAGGTATGAGACATTCAGCCAAATGGCGAACGCTTGGCCGGTGGTGTCCATGCAGGTGACCATCTCCTGGGTGTATCCGGAGGAAGTAATGGGGGCAGCAGCGGTGTTGCCAACATTCTCGGCGAGACCCTCAGCACCAGCGGCGCGGAAGGCAAGCTTCTTCAACCAGGGGACGACGCCGGCCGCAGCGGTGGCGCTGGCGACGGCGGGAGCAACCTTAGATAAGTGGCGCAGGGCGGTGCTGCCCACGGGGTATGGGATGGTATATTGGACGAAGAGGTAAGCGGCGGCCATGTTTGTTCCGAGGATGAATTGGGTGATTTGCATCGTTGTCAAGCTGCGCTTGATCGCAGTGGGAACGCGGATGCGCAGAGCAGTAAGGGTGTAGTAGGTATACTAAAATGTCATTGAGTTAGTCACCGGATACTTCGTTTATCTTTAGCACGATTGGATTTGGGGTTTGCTTACCATCATCGCATGAATAGCCGAGTTGACAAGAGCGAAGATCCAAATAGGAGCTGCCATATAACGAATACCAGCCCACATGCACATCATGGCACCGGCGTGGTGGTATGTCTGGAGGGTAGAGCTCTTCTTGCCCTTAGCCAAAATGATGGCCGTATCAACGACCTCGTAGAACTTGGACAGGTAGAAGATCCAGCCGAAGTAAGCCAGGCCCTGGTTCCAGAGACGGCCGACGTCGGTCGAATCAGGCAGACCGTTGGTCAGAGTGTAGGCAGGGTTGGGAATGGACCATTCATCGGTAATGGTGCTGTAGGTAGCGGCATTTCCGTAGCCGCGGGGACCATTGATCTTGCAAAGAGAATCGACAACGCCAGCCCAGCCATTGGGCTCGCGACGAGGTAGCCACGAGTTGCCAAAGGCCTGGAACATGCCCACGAAGGTCCAGGCGGAGTAGACAGCGAGGAAAACATTGTGCAGGATGACGAACAGCTTGAATAGAGGCGAATGGCTGAATGCGTATGGCTTGTATCCGCGGCTCTTGTTGATGCGATTGATCAGGACAACAGTCAGGGCGTAGACGCTGGCGATGGTGATCGGCACGCGCACATCCAAAACCTGATTATACAGATCGTTGGGAATGTTGAAGGGCTGCTTCCATGAGAACTCCGAGACATGGGGCGCAGGAATCGTTACAGGGAGCTCGGCTGGGGGAAACTTGAGGAGGGAGGAAGGAGGAAAGCTGAGACGAATAGTCGCTGGCCCAAATTGGGTGGGCACGTTGAAGTCATACATGATGCGGTCTTCTTTTCTGCCGTTGTTCTATGCGCAGTATATTTTGTTCTTCTACCCACGACCACACGGGAAGAGACCCAAGCTAGGGGAAGAATATAGTAAATGAAGCCGACAGCTATTCACAATAAAGAGGAAAGAAAAAAAAGGTCGACATCAAGTCAAGTAGGGCTCCACCGGCGATAAAAGAAAAAAAAGACGTAAAAAAGATGTTATCGCAAAGAGTGGAGCCTGCGTTTGTTGGGAATTGGGGAACCGAGGTCGCGCAGTGATTGGGGGAAAAGGGAAAATTGGGGGGAAAACTTGAAAGCTGAATATTGGATTTTCTGTATGGGGAATTGGATCATTTCATCATAGACAGTCATTGAGTGTAGATGATTAAAGCTAATTTTTTTGATCATATTAATCTGTATTCCTTTGTAGCCCTAAATTGAATCTAGAAAATCACCGAAGTGTCTGGTGTTGAAAAAACAAACAGTCAACAAAAGTTGGAGTATCCATAGTCCACATAGTCCACATAGTCCTAGTCCTCACACTAACATAAAGATTAATTTATACTTAATTATACTCCACTTTGTTGATGACTTAGACATGTTCGAGGTATGATTGCATCCTTGTGCTTCTCCAGGTTTTCCATTCCCTTATTATCACTCTAATATATATTTCCTTTTTTTCTTTAAGTTTTTTTCTATTTTTTCCTTGATTTTGCTCTCTAAACCTGATTTCTCAGGCCCCGATTTGACCCTTGCTGACTAATTCTTCGCCCCCCCCACCACTATCAGCTGTTAAGATGGTACGAAATCATCCTCGTGCTCTGTGTGTCCTGAACGTAATACCACATGTTCGGCCCTGGGGAATAATTCCAATCGAAGGAATGGCCTATATTGTTGGGAACGGTAGTTCGCATATCCAGGGGGCGAATATGCACTACCTGTTCCCAACGTCTCGGCGTATGCACTTAGATATAAGACGATCGGCCAACCGGACCTTCACATGCGGCCGAGGCCAGCACCCATGATAGGGAATGCGAATCATACCAGGAAGATCGATAAGGCTACTTACTACTACACACATCATGGTGGTTGAACATTTTGTTGAACATTGAGCTGTACATTCGGCTGTACATTCAGCTGTGCAACATAATACACGAATAATATGACCGCCCTTTATTCGGTGTCAGAAAAAAACAAGTACCAGGCTAAATTTTCGCCAAACTCCACTATATCTATGTAATTGGCACCGGGCCGTGCGAAGATAAATGGTCGTACAAGTACATGCATTCCCCAATTAGCGGGGCTTGGTGCTTAATGGTACAGGTGGTGGCGCGGGGGATGACGACTCTGGCGAAGCATCACCGCTGTTTGCAATGGGTGCAGCTCTTATCTCTGCCCGCTTGGGTGGGGGAGGTGGTGGTTTCATACGCGCCTGTGCCTCCAAAGATGTGGATGTAGAACTCCTGGAAGGTGTCGGCGGGTTCGTCGCCGGCGAGTTTGGACCTGGTGGCCGGGGCATTCGTTTGTTCGCGTTGGCTGAAAACTTGCGATCGTCCACAAAGGTATTGATCCGCGATGTCACACCACCCAATGTCTTCTTGCCAAAATCAATTTTATCGGCATGACGGTCGCGAAATCCTTGGGCAGGTGGGAGATGGTCGTCTGAATTCATTGGGCGTGGAGCTGGTACATATGGTTGGGACGCCTTGGATGAAGTATTCGAATCAGTGCGCAATTGCGAAAACCGAGACTGTAATTCATTGACAGGCTTCTCGCTTGCAGCTGGCGAAGCTTGAGATGTACCAGTCGCTCCTCCAATTCCAAATGCAGGAACTGAAACACCGGCATTGGCGAGGCGCGAGGCCGCACCCTGGTTTATATACCCCTGGGAAGGAGATGGTGGAACAGACGAATAGGCCGGCGGGGGAGGAGAGGGGTCCTGCGCAGGCGATCCATTGCGTGGAGGAAGTCGAGGAGGTAGCTGAGGTTTTGGCTTTGCGCCGCTTGGCTTTGCAGGGATTGGTGGGTTTTGTCTCCCGGTTGAGGCCGTTGATGAACTTGGCGAGTCCATGCGTCGCACTGGGGGAGGAGGGAGGTTGTCTGTAGTCAATCCCGTCGTGTTCACGCGATATGGTACCGGTGGCCCCTTAGGCTTCTGAGCAGCCTCCTCTTCTTCAGCTGCTTGTTGCTGTTGTATATATTGTTGCTGCTCCACCTGCTCGTGAGATAGAGGAGCTCCTAGGCCTCGTCGATCTGGTGTCGTCTCATTGGGCAAGGCCGCTGCGCCATGGTAATTGATATGTTTCGGGGGTGGTGCAAAGGCCGATGGGTCCTTGAGTGATGAGAGGGGTTGTGCGACATGTTCACTTTGGTCGGAGCTGGGATCTTTGCCTTTGCCCATCCATCCTGCCTATATTCGGAGAAGACGGTGCATTAGCGGCTGGAGCCAAGCCAAGCATACTCCATAGTCAGGATTCACTTACCACTTGATTGATTCCTTTAAAGTCCCCACGCCAGCTCTCTTTACTCTTCCCATCTTTTGCTTTAGGGTGCCAGCCCTCTTTCATCATATTGCTAAGTCCACTCATGATGGGCAAGGTAGATGGTCATTCTAGGTTCTAGAATGTAGTCGTGGCAACTCCAATGAACAACCCCGCTTTACTCCACAGTCACGTGTATGACGTACAACCAATCCTAGGAACCACAACTTACTATGACAATCTTGGAAGTATGTTGCCTTTTTTTTAATACTGATTAAAGGGTAATTGTCTTATTTTATGTATATTTGACTGGTACTCAATATAGAAAGCATAGATCGTACATGGAAAGTATGATCTGTCCATCACTTTCTCGGGGTGCTGAGACTTAAAAAGCTGAGAGGAAAGGTAGGTGTATCTAATGTCAGTACACATTTGTTTGCCCTGGCTAGAGTGTTTACAACTATGTGCTCGAGCGTAAGGGCCTGGTTTGCGATCACGGCGACCGTACTGAAGCGCAAACACTAGGAGATCAGAAGACATGACTATTCCGTGTGGGGGAATGAAACTCCCTTAAGTCTCCAAAGTCGCCAGATATATTGAAAATAGGAGCAATTTTGTTCAGCTATATACTACCCAGTATCATCCTAGTTAGTATCAAATCCAAAATTTTCTGGCACTTGATAATCAACCTCCTTCAAGTTTAACGCAGGGTATATTTTGGACCCACTACATCAAATCAAGTGGACCAATCATGATATTTTCAAAGATGCATAATCAGACTTTTGATCTTAGTAGCTCAAAAATACAGGCTTGATTAGATTGGATGGAATTCTCGTGTTTAAAGTACCCATGGCTGAAATCTCCAATATAATGCGCTGCGAAAAACCACCGCCATCCACAGATAATCCACCAGCCGTTGATGTTCGCACCGGGGTGCCTTTTTCAGCCAAACAGCATCCAATCATAGATCCCTGCAAAGTGGGAGCCTCACACTGCATTCAACTAAATCCCACTAAACGCAAAACAGTTTAACCCAGCCGCCGATCGTACGTGGACCGCCCCCAGTAGCCCCAAACATTCGTGCCCGTCAGCCGCCCAGTGAATTAATTATAGAACATTCTTTTTCATGAACTGCCAGGCGGTTACGAATGGAGATTCTTTGGTCTTTCTTCGAATGGACTCGTCATTATCTGCTTTTTTCATATCCACAAGTCTACTGAACCGCCCGGGCAGCGCCGACACTGGATCTTTTGCTGAAAGGTGATCTCCACGCAGCTTAGGAGGAGGAAAAGCAAATGACAGCCTCGTGAAGTAGTGGGCAGTGCCCACTCGTATCCCCACTCTCGGGCCCTCCATAATACTCCTGGATGTGGCCCTGAGGATTCCTGTTGGTTTGACAATTTTTTTTCTTTTCCTTGTGGAAAAAGTTTACATTGTTACCCTTTTCTCTCTTTTGTTCCTCCTTTGTTTCGAGGACTCGAAAAGGAAATCTGGGGCAAAAAGTATCGATTTATCACGAGCTCGTTCATTCATGCCGTATTGAGTAGTGTCTATTTCTGGCCCCCAGTTCGTCATACGGCCCTTGTTGCGCTCTTTTTTTCACGCGCTCGTTTTGTCTTTTTGGACGCCTTTTTTGGGGACATTTGATGCTATACGAAGAACTTGATACTATCTAAATCACCACCATGGAGGTATTTGAGGTCTTTATTAGAGACATGTCAGGCCCAGTAGTTGGAGTGTCTGATTCGGAAGATCATGATGAGAACCATAAGACTATAGCTACAGGCGATGCAGCACAACCAGACGCCACGAATTATGGGGATCCTCAGAACACAAATCCTTCGTTTTCTTATACGAACACCGAAAGCCTGGTTTCATCGACAACATCATCTACAGACTCAGGAATCACCCCTGCTGTTATCCCCTCTTCTATTACAGCGGACGCCGCTTCAGCATCATCCGCCTCATCATCGACATCAGATATCCCAACAATCACAGCTTCCGCCACAAATGGAACCTCCATCAATTCCTCCGGGTCCTCCTCCTCTTCCGGTGGAGGAACCTCAACAAAAACAAAACTAGCAATTGCTATCCCCGTCGCAGTCGTCGGTGCCATAATTATCATGGCGATTGTATTCTTCTTCCTACGACGACGCCGCCGTCGCCGCCAAGCTCCCATGACACCTACATACGAAGTCGCCAAGAATCAAGATACCCTCCTCTCAACCTCTCAGCTTATGGCCGCTACTCTCGCTAAGCAACAAAAACCCGAACAAGCATCAGGATCAATGCCCCGTTTTCCCATGTTGGATGTACCAGATAGTCGAGATGGAGATATTAGTCCTGGCAGCTCGGGACAGATGTCGCAGAATGAATCATCGCATGGAGAAATGGGCTTTGGAATGGCTGTTGCGAAGGATCAGAGGCCTGATGCTACGGAGCAGGAGTTAAGGCATATAAGTCGTTCTGCCTCGCCGGCTAATGCGGTTGGTACACAGATACATTTACCTCTTGGTGGGGATGAGAATGAACATACGCGGATTAGGGACGATGATGATGTTTCTGTTGTGTCGGATTATCATGGACAGAGGGGTCAGCATGAGCATGATTATGATGATTTGTCTTCTGTTTCGTCTTTTGAAGGTGATACCCCACGGGCGGATGATCATCAGCACCCTTTCCGATGAGAGTTGGGTCGTGTTTTATCTGAAAAAATTTTAACGTATATATTGTTTGTATTTAAGCCATGGCGTTGGTTGTGCTGTCTTGTATAAATTATTAACACATCGTACTATTGCATCTCATGTTTTACATACTTTGCCCCCGAGGGAGGTAGTACATTCCGATACCCGCGGGCTTGACCTTTGCTGGCGTAGACTCGTCCTCAATGTAGTATGTGTGGGTATGTAGGACTTAAGAAAACTTTGAATCTTCAGAGGGCTCCGTAGTGATGACTGTTAAATGGCTTTTGATTCAGATGGACATAATGTACATACGACTAAGATATGAGCCTCCACTCTTGAGCCCTGCTCTTTGAGAGTTCTCGAAGCACCATGGTAGCAGTATTAAAAGATGTCGGAGATCGTATACTTCTCAACAATCATCCAAGTATCTTCTTCTTCCAATCCTGCCTCCAAAGTTTCCAAGTACCACCAAATCGGTGATTTATGCAAGCATGGGAGCTCCTGAATGATTCCGAATTGCTATGTCGTTGTCCATTTGCCCAAACATTAATAGGTAATACACAAAGCCCACCAAACCGTTTCCCAGGTTTAGCCTCGGATGCATTGACGCACAATGTGTCCTGGAGAAGATGAAAAGGAGCCCATGATACACGACTCTGCGCATGGCTTGAGCCTGGGGCAATCAAATCTCCAATTTCTGTATCTGCCTTGACTGATTGTTCCACAAGCGGATGTGAGGCCGGTAGAGAGTCAGATAGTACATCTAGAATGGCATCGGTAAAGACGCCCGGTCCGGTGATTTCAAGCGTTGTCAACTCGTTATACTGTGGACCTAGAAAAATGCTGCTTTCGTCTATGTGTCGTTTTGTATGAGAGAGGACTCGAACGATCACTTCGCGGAGAAGAGGGCTGAATCGTCGAGGTGCATAGATTGAATATTGAAGGAATCCGTAGCGACGGACCCAGTGCCAATAGTGCATTTCTTCGGCTGAGGCAAAGGGCTCATCGATTTCGATACCTAAAACGAGAGACACGTCTGGATCGTCACTTCCAAATAGCGAATCTTGCATTTTTGGACATTTTTTGATGGATTGTACTGGGCGGGCATCGATGTCCGCATAGTAGCCGCCGTAATACCATAGAATGAGATATCGAAGAAGGTCTGATCGGTGGACATAATGGGGGTAAGAGTGGTATAGTTTGGCGAGACCTGGTATCGTGGAAAGGGTAATCGTGACAAATTCTTCGGCCCATTGGCCATTGACAAGCTGTGTGATGACGAAAGGATCAGTGGGAGTGTTCGAGGAGCGTAATGAAAAGTCCAAGGTTATGCAGTCTTCATACCTTGTAAGCCCATTCTGAATTTTGTTGCTCCATCTGCAATGAATCATCGCCACGGATTTGTGAGGTTGTTTTGTGCATGGTCGGCATGTCTTTCAGTAGCATTTGCCAGATGATATCTGGAGGATTCTCACTGCCATGTAAATGCAGTTCTTTCTGTTCAATATCGTGCATTGCTCGGGACAGTTCCTCTTCATATTTTGTGTCGGGATCATCGCGATATTTTGAAAAATGCCGGTAATGTGGAAAGTCATCGTAGGGGTTTTCTGGACGAGTATTTCGTGCGCTCTGTAATAATGAAAGACCGCGGATGAAAACGAGGACTGAAAGAACAGCGAGGGTACTGAGGGTCCTCAGTCGCCCTCGGGGTCCAAACAATCGTAACCCAGCCATGACGAATGGATACAATGGGCCATTGTGACGCCGGGAGAAAAGAAGAATTGCATGGGAGTCTTCACAAAGATATAATTGCTTCAATGTTGTACCCTCGGCTTGTTTCACAGCGTCCAGGCTGAAGGGTTTCCATGTATGTTAGTCTTGGCAAAAATAAGCAGTGTGTTGCAACTACCGAATTTAGTGGTTCGGATTCACATCGTTGATGGTTAATCAGACCCTGATTCATGTTAAGGTCTGTGGGGCTGCCCAGGATGGGTCTAGTGCTTATCTGCCTAAGTTACGCAGTTGCCTGACCGGAGATCGTCCGTTTGAATCTGTCAAACAAGTCTCAAATTTGATCCATTGTTATATCTATGAGTTTATGAAATTGGACAGCGATTCTGGTCACTACACGTTTTCTTTCTATGTATGCTACATGTGTAACAAAATGTTTCATCATAGTCACCATTTGACTCTATCTGGTGTCATATCAAATATCTCCATGCTATTGATCCTGTAAACGCCTATCATGCAATCCCAAGACGCCTAAGAACACACCTTAACGACATAATTCAACATTCAGCAAAGTACACTCAACGTAAAGTCAAGTCCACGAAGTTCCCATCCGTACTTCCCTCCCAAGTCTTCTTGATCGCTTTGACAATTGGCCATACCTTCTCACGCGCATCGGACCGGTCAACCCCATCATCAAGTAATGACTCGTACGGCGTATGCATGTGTCGAATATGAGCCTCAACAGCAAGTGAGGCCTTTCGTTTATCTGTCGTCATTGAGGTGCGCCCTACTCGGCCGGAGCCCTTGAGGAACGCATGGTCTAGAATCACTTTGAGTGAATCACGGGGCATTAACGGAAACTCCTCGAGGAGGAGATCTCGTGCACGACTGATGGTCTTGCTGTCGCGGGCATCAACTGCATCGGACCGCCTCTGAGATGTTAAGGCTTCTTGCTCTGAAACATTCTCATGGATCTCCCTTGGGACTCGTATGCCCAGGGTTCGCTTGGCTGCTTTGTCCTGCTCTTTGTCAATACAAGGGGGTGGACATTGCTGATGGCAGTTGACTCACGTAGATAACAAAGACAACTTTTTTCGATTCCTTTGTGTTGCTGCGGCAGTGTCTGGTGATGTACACACTCCCCTTCGGAACGAACACATATCCTTGTGGCATGGGTTCACGCTCAAAGATGTTCTATATCGGCGTTAGATATTGGACTTCTGCCTGAGTCGATGGGAGTAATGCATGATAAAAGCATACCTCTTCTAATGGATCATCCGAGGGAGGGAGGATTCCGGACTTGGTGGAGGATTTGGAGCCCTTTGCCGAGGAGCCTGACTGTGACTTTTGAACGCGATCACGGCGTGGAGCATGTCGCCTCTTCCGTCGATGGACCTTTCGTTTTGTGGGAGTCGACATGGTCAAGGGCTGTAGTCTGAGAATATGGGACGCGGCTGAAGCAAGGTGGAAGAATTTGAGACCACTGCGGACAGGAGCAATGTTTTATCCACTATTTCGGGGCTTGGGTCTGTCAAAGACGGCAGTTTTTTATGCATATTTACACTACTTATTGAATTGACATTTGAGCCATTAATTGGTGGGCGAGGCACATGGATCAATGTCCTTCAGTTCACTGTTTGGGAATTGGTGGAATGCGGCTTCTGATGTGGCGGTGGGGTGAGAATTGCTAATACCACCCCTCAAATGGCTAAACCCACCCCTTCTAAGCCGCTTTGGGAAATTCTGCCGTATTTGTAATATGAGCCGTTAACAAGGCGGTGTAATTTAAAATGGGCGGTCAATGGAGGCGGTGGACGCCCCGACACACCAAACCACACCAAACCACATCAAAAAAGGCGTCTATTGCGGAGCGCCCGGATATCTCTATTCTTTGATAACAATCAATTATATTTTAGCACGTGATTATTAAATAACGTATATTTATTAATCCAGAAGGGTTTTAAAAAATGGTTTAAAATGGTATTGCTGTAGTAAATCAAAGTAGGGGTTAAAATATGTAAAGTTACTATGTAAAGGTAAATAATAGGGAAATGGCAAAGTATGGCGAGGTGTAGTGAGCATGTGACCTGCCGTTTACGGAAATATTAAGAGAAGCTGATTGGCTGCCGAGGCCCCACAGTACCCTCAGGAATGTGCATTTTTATTACTCCCGTTACCATATCAATATTTTAAGCAATAACAATATTTTAAACATATATTTGAATACCTCCCCTTCGCTAAAATGATTTCTTCTTTTAGAGTATTGTTATTTTCTATCTTCTCTACTACCCCTGAAAATTTGAAGCTATTTGGTTATTATTATGTCACTGGAAACTACTGAATCTCTTATGTCTAGTCCTAGGCTGTCAACTACCCCTCCTCCTACGTTCCGCGATGATTTTCTCAACACTATCGACACAATTTATGACGAAGAGACTCAATATCCCGAAGAGCCATTGGCTGATATATACTCAGATATTGAGCCAAGTTTCCCTCTATTTAAGCTGAATCCGCCCTGGAAACTCGAGTATTCTTCGCCGGATGAAGCTCAAACCGAGATGAATCAATTTGCAGCTACCCAAGGCTATGCAGTTGTTTCAAAACGCTCAAAATCCTCTAACGGGGTAAAACTCAAGGTTATTTACCAATGCTGGCGAGGTGGTGAATATTGTGACCGCCGGACTATAGGACTTGATGCAGAAAAACGCAGAAGAGGCCGTACAAAAAAGTGTAACTGTCCATTTGAGGTTATTCTTCGTCGACATGGAGATATATGGTTATTGGAAATTGGAAATGGTAGCCATAACCATACACCATCACCCGCCGTCAATATTCCTTATCTTCGCCAAATGGCTATGAAAAAAAGAGGTTTGGAGATTGAACAGGCTATCCAGCAGGGGCTTTGGCCTCGCCAGATTACGGATCAGCTCAGGAATGAAGGCGAACATGTTATCGCGAAGAACATCTATAATATTAAGATGGATCTTAACAAAAGACGACTTGGCGGCCGCTCATCTATTCAAACACTTCTCCAAGACCTCCCAAATTCAGGGGATTGGTGTATCCGCTGTAGATCGGATAACAACGATATTTTACTTGCTTTATTCGCCATCCACCGGACTTCCATTGGATTTTTACGTCTTTTTCCCTATATTCTTTGGATGGATACAACATTTAAAACCAACAAGTTCAAAATGCCATTGCTTGATATTACTGGAATGACATCAACAAACCAGACATTCTCCGCTGGCTTCTGTTTTTTATCAGACTCTACTACTGATTCATTTTGCTGGGCATTACAGCAATTACAGTCAGTATTAGCGGTAGAATCAATCCCTGAGCCATTGACTGTATTTACAGACAAAGAGCTTGCAATTCTCAGTGCTATACCAATGGTTTTTACACTTAACCATATGCTTTGTTTGTGGCATATCAATAAGTGCATCCTTGCCCATGCGCGTACTCCTATTCGTCAGTATCTTGAATGGGAGATTAAAGAAGCTGCAAAAAAACAAGAGATATTCTCTTTGAAGAATGGGTGTATACGGCAGGAGAAGCTTCATCGGTGGTGGAGAATGAAACAGTTCTGGCATGAAATTGTTACTGCTTTAACGCCTCAAGATTTCGAACAAAAATGGCAGGAATTTCAGCAAACTTACTGTCATGAGATCTTCTCTAAGCTAATTCGTTATATCCAGAAGGAATGGCTTAACCCAATATATGCGAAGATGTTTTTACACCATTATACTCGGCATTATTTTCACTTTGGTGAGGTAGCAACATCTCGAAATGAGTCGGCACATTGGGCATTTAAACGTGATCAACAGGTAATTCTCCTATTATTATTGAGGGATTTTCTATTAAAATTTAGCCAGGGAACCTCAACTTCTCTCCTTGGAGCCTTTGATATCTTTGAACAGACAATTAAACGTCAATATTCAAATATTCAATATCAGTTACATGACCAGACACTTGGACGATTCACAGATCATCAATCCTATACATTTTTACTACCAAATCTCATACAGAGAATTTCCCTTGAAGCCATTCGCCGTCTGGAGAAAGAAATCAACACATATCTACCTATCCATATCGAAAAACCTCAAATTCCTATCTTCTGTGTATGCGGCAAAGGCAGGGGCATTCCATGCATCCATCAAATTATTCCATATTATAATGAGAAAAAGCCACTTCCTCTTGATCTCTTCCACTTACAGTGGCATCTTCAGGAGGCTGATTCACCACAGTTTCATCCAGATCTTCTTCGTATACAGGAGCCAAGAATTCGGGATGATCGGAGGGTATGGATATCGCGAGGATCGTATACAGCATCACAGGCCTCGGTGGCCACATCACAGGCCTCGGGGGCCCGGCAAGACCCCCGAGGCCCAGAGGGATCACAGGGGCGGATCCCAAGCTTATGGGAGCAGCTAGATGCTGTTGAAGATGCTGTAGATCGTGAGTTTTATGAGCAATGGTCCCAACAAGGCTCTCAGCAGCCACCAACTGTGCAATCTCGGAGGAGACCCAATACATGTGGAAATTGCGGCGTGGAGGGGCATAAAAGGCCTGGGTGTCCGTTGATCAACAGATTTGCCAGTTAATTCGACTGAAAATGCATTTGCCGGTGTTTTTAAAATCAGCCTCTGTTTCCTCTTTAGGTTTAGCTTGGAATGAGATAACTTGCTTGCATATTAAATGTCGTTAAATGTGTGGTAAAATGGAAGCTTTTTACGTGGAGATGAGATTTAATTCTGGACCGTATTCATGCTGCCGGCAGAAAATTGATGCCTTTGTGCCTTGTGGTATTACAAATACGGCGGTGAGCTTAGAAGGGGTGGGTTTAGCCATTTGAGGGGTGGTATTAGCAATTCTCGGTGGGGTGTGTTATGCCTGATATTCCAGGCCACTTACATCCTTCGAGAAACAACATTTGAACAAGGCTTGGCCATTTCGTTACCTAATATTCGACTAATTTTATGAGTAAATTTAATTTACAATCATACGTTTTTCTAACTAAATAGTTAAATTATACTTACATCGACTTATTATCTTAAAGCCTATTGGTTTCGTTGATCAGTAAATCTCTAAAGGTGACAGAAATTCAGAAATTTTAATTTTAAATATGGGACATATTAAAAACTGTAAAACCTGTGCTAAAAAATGATACATACCTCTTTTTCAATTCTTTTTCATTCCAATGTCTTTTTCTTTAAAAAAAATTTCAAAAACATAATCTGAAAGGACAAGTGATCTGCTATTTAAATGTTGATATGTCAATTCAATGTTTATTTTTGGAAAGCACAATACATACAAAATTTTAGAAATACTAGTAAAACAATTTCGAATTTTCATCTTCAAATTTTATTTTGATCGATTATACAGCAATATACATGTATTATGATTTTCCTCTTGTAAAACAATTTGAATGTAAAGATTGCATCAAATGAAATCTCCTGTATTATTTTAAAGCATTTGAAATTCCATTACTATCATATAGACAGCAGCCATAGTATGTACTAGAGGTAGTTACTTCAGAACTACTAATGCTATATCCTCAAATCGGAGTCATCCACATCAAGCCGCAGGAAAGAAACATTCCCATTCTTATGTCCTAGAGCAAGCTTTCTTTTCCTTGACAAGGAACAGTTGGATCTATACTTTGGAGGGAGCCACAGAATCCTTTTGCCTTTCACAACTATCCATGTTCCATCATGGAGCATCATATCAAAATGCCGGTCGGCGGGATTTGGTGACTGGCACGAAAAGTGTTGCTGCTAATTTGCCTTTCAAAAAGAATTTTGCTTGTGGTGAGGTAATCGATACCTAGACAAGAATGGTAAGGGTATTCTTCTTGCAAGGCCCCCATGGCGACATTCCAAACCCGAACGATCCTATCCTGCGACACTGAAGTCAAGGAATGACCGTCGGGCGAGAAAGCTACCACTACCTGGCCTCTATACTTGTTTGTGGCTGCTCCCCTTTCTCTCGCCAGACTCGGACCACCAACAGTTTGCCGTAGCTTACCAGAGGCAGTATCATATATTTTTATACCGCGACACCGATCCCCGCGCAATTCACCAACAATGGATTGCAAGTTATGATAAGTGGCAACTGCAAGCAGTTTTCCGTCATAAGAAAATGCCATTGAGCATATCCTGTTCTCGCAGCATAGAGTAATTTTAACTACTTCCGTGGTGCTATCCCAGATTCGAACTCGAGAAAAATCTGCTGATGCCAAGAAGTGACCATCGGGAGAGAGGGCTATCGTATCAACCCAGTGCGTACCAGCACGGTACGTCTTTTTTAAAGTACCAACAGTAGTATCCCAGAGCTTCATTGTTCCATGTTTAGAACCAGATGCTAAGAACCGACTGTCGGTGTAAAAAGCCATCGATGCCACACTGTCCGAACCAATCGAGTGCGCCCGCGGTGATGCATCCACGGTGGCCCCCCAAAGTCGCACAGTACCGTCCGATGCGCACAATGCTAGCATTTGGGAATCTGGAGAAAATGCAATTGCTGTCAAAGGCATATGTCCAGCTAAAGTCTGTCGAAGAGCGCCGGTATTAGCATCCCAGAGCCTTACGTTTCCATCATCAAAGGCAGACGCTATCAGTTGGCCATCAGCGGAGAATGTCATTCTTCCGACCTCTCTTGAAGGGTCATGAAACTTTTTGTACAGTGCTCTTGCGTTACTCTGGATCTTTTTGTGCAGTACTCCTGTTGCAGTGTTCCAGAGACATATAGTGTAGTCAGGAGACGCAGGAGCAAGTAGCTGGCTATTGGGGGCAAAGACCGCTAGTCTAATCGATTTCGCATGTTCCTCGTGGGTGTACTTTAAGGTTGCTGTCAATATCTCATAGATATAAATTGCTCTTCCTGCGAGAAACACCAGTTGCTGTCCGTCAGGGGAGAAGACAGAACTTCCCACGACTTTAAAAGTCTGGAGTATTATACCAGTCGTGGCGTCGGAAAGACAATTGAAGTTTGGAAAGCTTGTGATTATAAATCGACCATCGGGTGACAACTTATGATACCCGACGCTGTTATTGAAGGAGTGGTCGATCTCCTTCATGCTGCCTGTTTTCATATTCAAAATTATTAAGGTAGGTCCTAACTTAGAAATCGCCATAAGCTGGCCACCTGAGGAGAAGGAGAATGACTTCATCGAATCTGACTTGGCCTTTGGGTGGATTGCTTTCTGTGATATACCAGTAGCAGCATCCAAAAGCTGAATACTTCCATCTTTGACTGTGACCAGATTTCGCCCGTCAGGCGAGAAAGCTACCTGGCTGTCCAGGCCAAAGTGACCATAAACAGTATATTGTGGCATGCCTGTAAAAACATTCCAGACTCGTAAGGTGTCATCTAAGGAAGTTGTGGCAAGCAACTTGCTATCGGGGGAGAAAACGACAGACTGGACAGTGCCTGATAGGCCGTCAAGTATCTGTAACTCCGAGCCCCACTCCTTTTCAACCGGTGACATCCAGTGAATGGGATAGAGGAGCTCTGTATTTAATTCCCTATGTATTAGGGAGTCTTGAGGCGCAGAGAGAAGACCCGCGCAATAAATCTGAAGAGGTACCAAGTCGGCTATCTGATGGTTCCTGAAAAAGAATCGCTTCGCATCGTGTAAGAACTTGTAAGTCTCTTCATCATTCCCAATCTACTTTTGTCAGAAAAAAACTCTTATACAGATCTAAAGTATCAAAAAGGTCTTACCGTTGGAATCGCCCGTAGAACAGCAAGCATCTCTGCCATGTCCGACAAATGACCTATTAGGCTCATTGCTTCCATCCAATGTAAGAAATGTTTTCGTAAAAAGAGTTGAACGTGGCTTTGAAAAGCAACCGAGGTCTTGCTATGCCAAAGGTGATGTATCCAGAAGCGACCAGAGTATGCCAATTCGGTCGGTATTTGCCGGCGGAATGATTTAGGGTCGATGTCTTCTCCTGCCGTTCCAGGGCTATCTAAATCACAGATATTTTGCCTGAGGTGACATCCCATCGTTTCAAGACATAGTTGACAAATGTCGGTGTGTTTATTGGGTCCGTCCATATGGAATTCACTAGCACTTTGTAGAAGAAAATCTCGGAAGGATAAATGCATAATGCGAATAGGAGAGTCGAGATCATGGGGTATTCGCATAACAGAATGGAACGCGTCCAGTCTATCACTAACATACTCGACTAGGTCTTCGATGCTTGCCATTTTCGAGGCTCTGATAGAGGGTTCGAGGAGTCGCGAGAGAGTATTGATAGAAAGTGAGATAGCAAGGATAATCATCGTCCCTACAATCGTGTTAAATTCATGAAGAACCTGTTGTCGCTCTGATTCTGCTTCCGATTTGGAGACATCTTCATCTTGGTCTGTATAGATGAATTGTTTGAGAATAGGCATGTAAGTCTTCTCCATCCGTGTGCCATAATTGACTTGGTCTTTCAGAATCTCCGAGAGGCGTCTGATGGGGCTCAATTTTGGCCCTTCAATATATCGGCACACAGTGGCCTCCGAAATGAATAAAGGTTTTGACAGCTCAACAAGACAGTCATGTCCTTGTAGTTAGGCCAAGTCTGATTTAAATTACGCTTCCGCCTGATCTTCATGAATCGATCATTCAAAAATAGCTCTATGTCGTGTTTTGTCACCTCTTCGGGAATTTCATGGAGTAGGACGTGTTGATAGTCGAAGGGAATGTCTGAAAACCCAAGCCGAACAGATTGTTCGAGTCTGCTGGTCAAAAATAAATATTCGAAGACGGACTGCTTTCACCCTATGTAGCTCTGAAAATAACCAGATAACAGTCTGAATATCTTGCTCATGGTCACATTCGTCCAAAGCATCGATCACAATGACAACTATACAGCTTTGGTGTTGCTGATTGGCCTCGTCAAGGCGAAGTAGTGGCTGCAATACAAGCTGATCAAACTGCTGGCTCAGCGATTTAGAAGCGATCTTTGGATCTCGACGGAGAGCATCTATGACGCTTGCCTGTACCTCGGGGCTCCAGTTCATCATCTGATGTATTAGAGTTGGGAACAAGCTCTTTGCGTTTCCCCTGTGCTCCTCTCCCCTCTTTAAAAAGAAGCTTGCCGATAGATATTCGGGACTCTTAAATGTCATTGCGATCGTTCGAGAGATGGTTGACTTCCCTGTACCGGCCATTCCATTTAACAAGAATATGTATGGTCCACCGGTTGAAGAAATCCAGTCATTGACTTGGTCAAGTAGAGCGGTCCTCGTGTCTGGGGGGCATTCATCTTCATTTCGGTCTCGGTATGAACCATAAATATCGTCCTCCACAATAGGCAATGGGTGATCGAAAGCTATGTCCCAGTCAATAAGGAGCTCCACAAAAGACAAAAGTCTCGAAACGTACTGCCGATGCTTCCATAATTAATTCCCACTTGTAATCCGCCAAATTTGATCCTTCAAAATCGTACTCATGATCGGAGCAGAGTGCGTTTAGAGCTCTGTTAGAATATGGTAACCAACGAAAAGCATCAGTGAGCATTTTAGAGTCATGCTCAGGCGGGGTGGCTGCCCAAATGGGTGAGATAAGCTTTTGCGGGCAAAATGAGACAATATTCCAAGATATGTTGCAGATAATTGATATTGCTATACTTCCAAGCATCTAGGTCACTTCGCTTGGCCCTAGACACCCGAATAGTCGACGTTGATCTGAGCATTGAGAGAAGAGGGGTTCATGCGTGTTTTTAGTGTCCCACGAGATATTGGGCGCCAACGACCACTCTATTCACAGCAAGATGAAATCTTAGCTCTGGTACAAGAACAAAAATACAACTCCGTTAATAAATGATACATTGTTGTTCAATGCTATTTATTGGGTCTACAGCATTTTTTTAGAATTCGACAGTCAGAAAAGTGGATCCCTTGCTAGCCAGGTACGGAATAGGGCCACCACGCTCACATGGCATGTTAGTTTCGTCCCGTATTCAGGACGATAAAGGATGAGATACGGGATACTCCATATATCTGACCGAATTGATGCTTTCCTGTGCGCAAAAAGAAAAGGAAACAGCTTGCGTGAGCCTGAACAATTGACGAACCATCCGGGGCTACCGCAATGTGGTGGAGTCGCCAGGTGTTCTGATGGCACAGTAGTGTGGGTTGCGGGTTCAAACATCTTGAAATCAAGATCCCGGAACAGGATCCGCCTCAGATCCGCTTGTGCCCAACCTGCATATTGGCTGTTCACACGGGCCATTTAGAGTAGTCGGGCACGACCGACTCCACCAGTCGCCAGGAGAACCCGTTGAGATCGGGATGGTCCTGCTCAATTCCTACAGCATTCTTCCAAAGATTCCTAGTAAAGGACCCCGGATGGTAATGAAAAGTGGGATCCACGATCAACGTTCTCCGTACTATGGAATAAGAGATCTCGATGGGAATGAAATCGCGGGAAGGAAGCTAAGGTGGGTTTCCGAGGAATACTGTAAGCTGCGGGCGAAAGTCGGAGGCCGAGACTCCTTTGTTTGGCGAGATAGGTGCTTACTCCATGGATTAGGGAGGTGTAAGCTATCTAATATACTTCGGTCTACTCCGTCCTGCGACACTATGCAGAGATAGCTATCTGTTCCACGACAGGGAAGAAAAGGACATATGGACTGTGTATGGATCACTAAGTGTGATCCAGATGTCCGACCGCGAGTACGGAGTAAGGGCGAAGCGACAACGCTAGCGCAGGACCAAGTTCCAGGTCACCCGCCAAGCGAGTTTAAGCTGGCTCGTATGTCAGGGGCCGCGAATGTAGCTGCATGTGGGCGATCCTCGAATAAAGGATCCAGTCAGAAAAGCGAGAGGGAGCGGAAATTAACAAATTGGCCCAAAGAGAACTAGACAAATTGGTCTCAAGAAAAGGAAGAGAAAAAACCTGTTGAAAATTAGTGAAAGTTCCATAGTAACCGTCTAGGCACCTTTCTCCGGACGGAATAGGTACCAACTAGTTCCCCCTTTATCCGGGGATCAACCTTGGAACCGCCTAAGCTGGATAGCCACCGAGCTGCGAGATCTGAATCAGCCATGATTGAGCTGGTTGTTGATGGCTGTATAGGTCTATATTTCTGGGGGTTTTTTGTCAACCATTTACTACGGGGTATAGTATAAGTATACCCCAACTTCTCAATCTACCACTATTTTCTCCTCTCCAGCTACTCTTCAGTCTCTGGATACCACACTCTCCACTTTCATCTCGCCAGGGATGGACACATGTCGTCATCAGTCAGATTGGCCCGCCCTGGGGCCTCACTAGGCCTCACTAACGGACAAAGCGCCGATGCAGAACGAGCTACAACTGGCTCGTCTGCTCTCTCGTAGCTTGGAACGCTGGCGCCCCCGAACAAGGCTCGATCTTATTGCTGGCCCCAAATACGGCTCTAGATCGGCGTTTTCCCCAGGAAGGTACCGGTGCCTTTCTTTGACGAATCTCGATCCTTTTTGGTTCGGGTCTGATGTGATTTTCATTTGTACCCATTTTACCTTTCTTTTCAGCTGGGCTGTGCTTACTTCCGGACCGAGGATTTAACACTGGTACTGTGAACATGGGGAGAGTGTGGCGGGCTGAAAAGTCCAACTTAGTAGTATAGTGTAGGCGGGGGGAATACCACCCCTCTTGACGGAGCATTATAACCGTCTAGAGTTTATTATAGTAGCAGTTGTATCTTATAGGGAAATATTATATACATTAAATATTAAATATTGCCAGACATGACAGGGACAAAAGTACTCAAACATCCCATGTATAATGGGTAAATGCAGAGATCCGATGCATTCTGATTGTCCGGAAGCTTCATAGTGGAGATAATCGGTGGAGGCTCATCAAATAGTCTCCACGTAAAAAGAAAAAAAAAAGGAAAAAAAAAGGAAAAAAAAATTAAAAAAAATTGTAATAAAATCGAACTTGGACAAACAGAGGAAAAGAAAAACACTTTCCCCTCCGTCTTGATTTTTGAGTCTCGTTTTCTGCTCTGCAAACTTTGTCTACATTCCTCGACTAGGCGTCTCTTAACATCATAACTACACGACTGAAGAAAAAAAAAACAGAAAAAAAAGAAACCTCCAGATCAATTGGGTTTATATACCAATTCGGATCGACAACATCTCCTTTTCGATCTCTTCTTATCTATCTAATTTTTTCACTTTATTCGATTACCATTAAAGTGATGATCTAGATTCGATGATCGTGGCTTCTATTACTCGTCAACCTTAAAGTCCCTTTCCCTCGTTATCATCCTCTCTCTCCCTGTCGAGCATTCCTCCCTCAACCCCCCACCAACACCTACCACCCTCTCCCTCTCTTCCTCCTAATTAAGGTTGCCTGGCAGCTTGACCTTCAATGGTTGCTGGGTCCCCGAGTTGCTGACATGAGTTGGGATCACCCTGTCCACAGGTATGCGTTTCCCCCCTTCCCCTTCCCTCCCTTTACTCGTGCGGGGTGCTTGTTTTCCCCTTTCAAGGAAGGAAAAAAAAGCGGATAGAGATAGAGTCCATATCTTCTATCAAGAGTTCTCCCCCGGAATTCCTTGGACCTTCTATCTGCTATCGTCTCCTGGTCATGACCCCATTTTCATCATGCTAATCCACCCGGCAATGCTCAGCTTCAGCTATCCCAACGGCGAACCGCAAACTCCGACTCGGACCCCTACAACGGGTGCAATCGACTCCTTTACTACACCTAAGCTTGAATCCAGTTTCTTCGATCCGCGGGTCACTTGGGATACCGCCGACCCTTATGCTTCTAGTCCGGAATTTCTTCGTTCACCTCAAAAATTCGCCCTGGGCACACCATCAAACCCTTTTAAGACGAAAACACTAGACCCACGGATAGGAGACTTTAAGGATGGAAGGGCATCGGAGCAGACAGACACAGCAAGGCGGATTCGGCCGGTAAAGCCTTTATCGAGCATGAGTGGGGATGGTCCTGGAACGGTGAATTCAGCAAAGTCAGCAGCATCGATGCAAACACCACCACCTACCAGTGCATCCAGGCGGAAGATTCCTGACTTTGACCCATTGAACAGCGTTGGAAGAGGCACGACGCCGAGAATTGGTAATCACCTAGAGACACCAAGTCGACTGTTGGGAACATCACCGCGGATGTTCGGTAATCTACAATCGTCACCGGATCTCTTTCAATTGGCCTCGTTAGATCAAACAGGATCTCCCTTCTTCCCACAGCAACGTCTATTCTGGGATCATGATCAGGAGCAACCAACTCATGGTATTCCCCTTCCCAATGTCCACAGCGATGCAGAACATCCACCGAAACAGGTTCCGGGAACCTCCTTGAATGGCCATATTCCACAATTACCGACTATTGAGGGCTCTATGGATCTGCCAGAATTCACAGGCGGGTTTGGGATCTCTTCTGCCCCGCCTACCGATGCGGCATTGTTCCCTGCTCCTTTCTCCGCATCCCCTCGTATGCCCGTAGCCAAGGCAGAAGATCCAGCCATGTTCTTGAGTTCTCCAGCTCGCCGTTTTGGCGGAACCCAGCTGACTCCGGAACGAAATCCTTCCCGTGCTATAAGGCAACCCTACCATCACCAAATTGAGGAGTCTAAACGGGAGGAGTTTCGTCGTGCGAGTGGATATGAGCCACATGGCCCTGGATCATTTTCGAGTTTATCAGAAGAGGATGATGACTATACGCCTAGAGGTTTGCGTCCTGGGCTGACAAGAAGTGTCACGCACAACGCTCTGACAAGTTCATGCCAGCGACCACTCAGTCAGGCTAGCGGAAGTATGAGATCTAGCAGTGGAGTTCGTAAAAGCCCGTCTAAAGGCCGAGCATCTCCAGTTAAAGGGATGCGACCCGCCCCTCTGGCGCGATCAGCATCTGTCGCTTCTAACTTCCCTACTCGTTCATCATCTGTGATCCTTAAAATTGGTCGCGATGGTCGTGCGAAGGCTGAAATGCAGCCCCTTGATGAGGGACCCACTGGTCTGACTGACCCCTTGACTGGTATGGACTTGGATGGATCTGCTACTGAAAGTGAGGCCGACCCGGCCGAATACTCTGAATACCCCGTTTTGCCTCGCTCTCAGTCTTCCTTCTCGCTGTTTGATGGCAACCGGCCGACCTTGGCTCGAAGCGACTCTGGTTCTCGCCCACCTTCCAAGGGATCATATGCCTCAGTTGGCTCATCTCAGTCAGGGCGTATGTCTCCCTGGGCTGGATCCGGATCCGTTCGAGGTGCTTCCGGTCGATCGACATACCGTGGATCCCCTGAAGCCATCAAACGAACACCTAAACGGCATTCCTCTTTACTTCACTCTGATGCTTCATATACTCGCGGCAGTGTTGCTTCACAGTCTCTACCGGGTGAGGATGATGAGAGCGGTGATGCCCAGGCTGCCCTCCGACAGGTTCTTAAGGAACGTGGCCGTAGTACTAGGCCATCCACTGCAAACTATAGCTCTCGCACTCTTCCACGATCATCACATACATTTTCACACCTGCGATCATCTCCTCCACGAATCAATAGTGACTTTGATATACAATCGCGCCATTCCAATGCCTCCCCAACTACCGTGACCGACCCAGACTTGGCGACTCCGCATACCGAAAGGCACAGCAACCACAGCAACCCCAGTAATGCTACCCGTTGCATTTGTCGTTCAATGGATAATGGTGGGCATCTCATGATTCAATGGTACGTTCTCATCTCCATAATTCGCTTCCTTAACCGCAAAACTAACCCTCTTCTAGCGAATCATGCACCCACTGGTTACACACCAAATGTGTGGGATTGGAGCGAGCCAATCTTCCTTCATTTTACGTCTGCATGTTCTGCGATCATACCCCATCCCGACAACGCGTCCAGTCCGAATACGGAGCTGGTGGCGGTCCCCCTTCACCTTTGGCGCATAAATCATTTCGGTTTCGGTAGAGCTATAATGCTTCTGTGACCTGTGTTATGTTCATGCTACTTGACGACCCTTTTTTCCTTTGTTCCCCTTTGCATTAGCCGGGCTGTCTCCCGTCTGTTTTCTTTTTATTCCCTAATCCTTTGTTGTTCTCTTCCTCGATGATACCTATGTAGCTATACGTAACATATTTCCTCTGCCAGGTGGAGATTTCCTATTCAAGATGCCGCCGCTTTGATGAGGGTGCTCAGAGTCAGACTTACTGAGTAAATTTCAGTCCGGGCTCAGACTTACTGACGAGCTCGAGGACTATTATGTGATACACCAGCAAGGACTGGTTTAGATCCTCGAGTATTTAGTGATGTCGATTGGGTGCTTAGGGATTACCCAGTAATTACTTAGACTAATTAGAGGGCTCTATTATATACCCAATTCTACACTCAGCCTATACCGAAAATAGTACTTAGCCCCACAATACTGTCTAATTATGAATTACTTTTGATGGCTTAATCAGTTTCAATTTCTTAAGGATTCTATAGCACCCTAGCCTTAACAGCCAAAACAGGTGACGCCAAAAATGGAAGAAATGGCTATCATATATTATATAGTAACGCAAGAAGGGTTTTCCTTTACTTATTTTATCTACGACTTACTTAGTAAAGATCTATAGGTATAAATTAAGCTATAATTCCCTCTTCTACTGGTATATTCTTATTTTTTATTCAGTTCTTCTTTATTTTATATATATTTCTACCTTAGCCTACTTCTAGCTATTTTATCATTATAACTATAGGGCGAAACTACTTCTTTACTCAATAAGATAGACGTATTAAAGAGATATATCAGAAGCAATCAGAAAGCAACAGCTATATTTTTGGTGCTTATGTAGATAAGGATTCAATCTATAATAAAGACAAAAGGATACCTAAGATAAAAGATATATACTATAACACTATCAAGCTCTAGATAAAGTAGGTTTTCTTAGGCTATATATTCCAGGCGCCATCCGGAGATTAATACATTCCTAGATTCGTTATAATATAGGGATCTAGGGGTACAAAATAGGACTAGGTTATACAACCCTAGATTATACACTAATCAAAGAGTTCCTTCGCTAGTACAGTCATACTATAAGAGGTAAAAAAAAGTAAAAATAGATAGCTAGTAATAATATTGGTTTTAAACTACATAGAAAAGCTAGTTAGTAGCTTCGAAGAAAAATTAAAGATTATAATTCCAAGGGAGGACTAGAGTAAGGTATTTAATATAAGATACTATAAGATCTTTAATTCTTTTAAGATATAACTTAAAATTATTATAATATAGTAGATAAGGAGAATATTATTAGAAGCTAAAGGAACAGTTAAAAATATTAAGGATCCAGATTACTGTTGTTACGGGTTAGTGCCCAGTATAAGGTCATATAGTATACGTAACTATAATAACCTAATATATAGAACACCTACTTAGTAATTCTCTCTTTAAGCTTTTTATATATAGTTTATAGTCTAGCTTAATTAAATATAAATTCTACTTTAGCCCTTTATAGATAAAAAGCTTCTAATTAGATATTATAAAAATCTAAAACTATATATAAATTATCCCTAAATTAAGAGTAATCTAGTAATATAACCCCTAAGTAAAAGATATATAAGTCTATTGTTAAATTTTTGCCTTCCTATACTATATTATTTCCTATGTTGTCCTACTATATCGGTAACCCCGTTATGTCTGCTGCTATAATGTCTATATTGCCTGATCTAACCTGATTGAGCCTGTTTGTTTTATTTATCTTTATGCCTGGTATATATTATATAGTTATTTCCCTTACTATAGTTAGATATGTCTGTATAATATACTAATTTTGTCACAAAGATCTCATCTAGTAGTATTACCTTCCAATAGTATCTTCTATAAGGCTATTCAGATATGATCACTATATTGGCTAAGAATATATATATTTGTTTATAGAAGATCTAATAGTATAGAGATCTACTAAGAGATAGAGGATTTAGAATAATATTAGTAATAGAATAATACTAAAAGTATTATATTGTGAAGATTTCTACTTAAAAATCACTATATAGAAGTAATTATTATGATTATATACTATACAAAAATATCTATATAATTATAAATATTATTTTTATAAAATTACTTAGTTTATTAGATCTAAACTAGAAGAGTATAATAAGATTATCTATTCTAATAGAGCTTTTAAGAATTATATAGCTTATATTTAGAAATACTATAATAAATATATTAATATATCTAACCTAATCTATATTATATATCTTTATTATATACTATAAATAGATTAAATATAAGTTTTCTAAATATCTTAGTAAAGAGAAAAGATAGGATTGTTTCTAAAAGTACTATTAGAAAGACTATAGTTTTATTAAATATATAATAGACTTATAAGAAACTATAGTAGAATATAGAATTAATATATCTAAGCTAATACTTATTTAATTCCTATAAAAGAATATAAATATATCTCTCTAGAGATAATAAACTAAAAATTATAACTATCTAAGTATTATACTTAATATTATTAAAAGATTTATATAGTATAAATAAGAAGCTTTAATTATAGATTATATTAAGAAGAAGAATAATAACTAAAGGATATAACTATAATCCTAATACTATAGATCTAGATACTATATTATTAAATAATACTAATTAGAACTATAATTAAAGATAATCTAATTATAGAAATAGCTTATTTAGATACTATAATTATAATAAACTAGGTTATGTTATCTATAATTATAGTTATAATAAAAAAAGAATTAAGACTTAAAAAAATAGATATAACTAATAGGTATAAAAATTTTCTTAATTACCTAAGAAAGACTTTAAAATTATTAGTTAATAATAGTTCTAATTAGCTTAATCTAACTATAGAAGTTATTACTATTCTAAAGACTTTATAAGAGTTAAAAAAGAAGGAAAAGAATAATATTATATACAGTCAAAGCCTACTAACGGTACACCCTCCCATCCTAAGTAAACTATGTACCGTAAATAGATTATACTGTTTATGAATGATAATATAATATTAAAACTATATAGCCCTAAGCCCTATTGCCTATTTAGGCTTCTATCCTATATCTTCTAAGGTCACCTAATGCTTTTCTATATCTTGAATTCGGCTGAAAACACTAATTAAGCTCTTAATCTGATGTATATTATCTGATATAATTATTTCTTTACTTCCAGCCTATAGTAATATACTCTATATATAAGCCATAACCTCAAAATTAGATAATATCTCTAGTAGTAGCCTGTTTTCTTTAAGATCTTATACTTCTAAGCTCTCTATATTAATATATATATCTTAGTTATTGATCTTATCTTAGCTATTAGTCTTATTTTTAATAATATCTTCCTCTATTAGATTTAAGAATTAATTAAATAATATAATATTATTATAACTAAGCCTCTTAATTAATTTATTATATAAAGCTTTGATCTTATTACTAAGCCCTAGCTCTAAAAATAGCTAAGAATTAACTTCAGTCCTATCTCTACTTTTAGTCTTATCCTTCTACTTTAGACGAATTAAAGAACTCTTAATAAAATAATTCTTAATTATTTTACCTAATACTAAGCTCTTCTAAATCTAAGTGATCTAAAATAGCATATAGAAGATATTTATCTAAACTTTTAGGTCAAGACCTTAATCAATAATAGTAATTATCTATCTTATCTATTTCTTCTAATAATAATACTTAATATTTTAGATAATTCCTTAGTCTAAAGACTAGTAAATTAAGGTTATATTTAATAGGAAAAATAGGACCTTTAATAGAATAGTGGCGGGGCTTTCTTAAGACTAGTAATATATAGAGAAGTATTATTAAGAAGCAATAATACTTTCTTATATATAGGAATATATATATAAAAAGTATATAACCACTCCTTTATAATATCTTAATATATCTAAGTCTTCTGATTCTAGTGCTATATATAGCCTAAACCCTAGAAATTATATCCCTAGAGCGTATAAAGGGTTTTTACTATTCTAATCATCTATAAAGGTATTCAGTCTGAACCATCTGTATTTATTATTACAATAAGAGAGATTCAAGTCTTATCTTTCTTTTTTCCAGCAATTTTTCTATTAGAGAAACCCCTATTTAGTATTTATCGCCAAAATAGGCTAGTTTTATCTATATTATATATCTTAGATAGTTTATATTGGTTATATATTATATAAATCTCTTTTATCTGATTATATATAGAAGATATAATATTAAATATTATACCGCTTTTTGAGGCAAGCAAGCTATCTATCTAAAAAAGCAGGTTTTTATTAATTTTAATATTCTAGGATATAAGACTAAAGCTTATTTACCTTAGTCTAGATCAAAGAGTCTATAATTAGAAGCCTATTATTAATATGCCTACTAACCTAATTAGATAGCCTTTTATCTAGAATAGGCTAGAATGATAAAGAATTTTATATACTAGCCTTATTAGACTATATATCAAGATAATCATATCGGGATGAAACAATTCTTAAGACCGATATATAACTAATCTTATAATTGAATTAGGACTTGAACTAAGCTGTACAAGCAGATTGCGTCAGTTTTGGATAAGTATTGGACTAAAAGGTATATAATACCTGCTTCTAGGTATCTAATATACCTAATTAGATATATTTTAGTGATAGTAGTATAGAAGATACCTTAGTAGCTAATCTAATATATAATAGAGATAGAAGATCAAAGGTTTTAGATATTCTAATTAGTTGATTTTGCTGACTAAGCGAATAACTCAGCAAAGATAGGATAAAAAGGGGTGTACCAAGATGAATTTACTATAAGTAAATGTTTTATATACAAAAATCAAGAAAAGTGGGTCCATCCAAGCGAATTATATACCCTAAACGCGATTATACCGTAGGCCGCCGTACCGTTAGTAGGCTTTGACTATATATTAATATATATCTTAATATAATAGGTGATTTACTATTATACTATATAGTTCTAGTATATAGCTAGAATTAAGATATAACTATTTATACTTTATCAGATTATAATACTTTATATATCTTTGTTTCTATAACTTTCTTATATTAAAATAGATTAGACTATTTTTATAAGTAAACCTATAAGAATATATATATTTATTTACTAAATAGTAATAATCTAATAATATAGTTTTATATATAACTATTAGTTATAATTAGAAGTTAGTATATTAGTATTACTTATAAAGGACTAAAATAGAATTTATATCTAATTAAGCTAGGCTATATACTATATATAAAAAGCTTAAAGAGAGAATTACTAAATAGGTATTCTATATATTAGGTTATTATAATTATATATATTATATAACCTTATACTAGGTACTAGCCTATAATAATATCCCTCCTTTAGGGTAGTCCTTCTTATATATATTATAGTTATATTTAGTTATCTTTAGGCCTATAATAGAGTTAAAACGGGGCTGAATTGTCTTTTAAAAATAATTATGTGTGCTACGTGACTTTATACCGGGCACTGGCCCGTGACATTTATAGCCTAGCTTAATTAAATATAAATTCTACTTTGGTCCTTTATAATTCTCCTCTATTAGTACGGTAGAAAATCATCATAGCCAAGTACGTAGAGCGTTTCCGAACACTAATATCAATACTTATACTGTTTCTAGTCGAATCAATCTTATAAAACATCATATATTTTCTAATGAAATTCCACTGTTCAGCGTCGCCGATGACGTGATAGTATTCTGATGTTAAGCTTGGGTTGCGAGTCTGTAGGTCGCCCAGTGGGCTGACGACAACCTTTTAGCTATCAGCAGGCTCGAAAACACTCCCGCATTGCAGTATTGTTGTATTCAGAGCAAGCTAGATCAGGTAAATGAATTCATCATCATCATCATCATCATCATCATCATCATCATCATCATCATCATCAACAAACAACTAATTACCAAATTACTCCGATGCCAATATTTTTACCTTAATTTATTGAGCACTAGAAAATCCTGGATGACTTGCAGAAAAAAATACAGCTTCAAAGATGTTACTACATATAAGATTCCGAGATGCACGTGGGGCCTGGAGCCTTTCCATGGTGAAAAATAAGTAACCGTCACATATGCATCATCATTTTTCGTGTATAGGGCTTATCCTCCGATATCTCTCTCGCTCTTCTTTTCACATTAACCCAATATTCTTTGTTCGAAATTAAGTTTACAATATCAGTTTAACGAAGAATAACTTCCGCGTTACCCCAGCAATACATTCAGATCGAAATTCATGGTGATTATAGATATAACATTCATATCGAAAATACGAACATCAAAAGGTATTTTCTTTTCCCCATACATTTGGCATCCTTTTGTTCTAAGGTATACGCAGTAGTCAATTTTACAAAAAGGATGATCGAAACGATATTTTAACGTCTAACGATATGGACGACATAGTTATCCATCATAATAGTAGTATACAGACTGTGTACTCTATATATAAATCCCAGGGATACATCGATCTCGTTAACGATATAAGGGATATAAAGATATACAGTCTAGCTTGGGGATCCTCCATAGAGCCCAGAGAACCGAACAAATTTAAGAAGCTCAACCACAATTCAAGCTACATTATTAAAATCAGTAAATGGAATAGAGCTAGTACTATAGGAGCAGTACCTATCACAATTAAGGAGCAATCTTGATATTAATCGAAGCTAGTATCTTATTAATAAACTCTATGTTCATCAGAAACCCACTCTAATATTGAGCAGCAGAATAAGGGAAACAACCAGGCCCCTGAATTTTGCTTTTATAAATAAAAACTTATATACACACAATCCTCTTAGAAAAATCATCTTTTGCCATCCATAATATACATTATAGAACCTTTTGGTATTAAATCAGCAAGTACCAACTAACAGCCGTTATTAAATTAGACATATTACCACCGTGACAAGTCTGATACATAGTCCACTTCTAGGATATCACATCCACCCCTCAAACTCATAAGCATTATTGTGGCCATTACATTATCTTTATCGATTCGGATTCTCTCCGGAAAAGGGCTCTACTACTCGTTACGTTCCTAGCACACCCAGAAACTCCTCGGGCTCTGTCCACACATATCATCTGTCTTCTCACCGATATATGTAGTGACCATATCCGAAAGTTATATGTATAAAATATCTTCGTGGACATTAATAGGCGTCATAAAGGTTCCAATTTCGAGCATAATTGGTATACTATTGGCCATTGCAGTGTGTTAAGATATGCGTGCTGGGAAGCTTTAGGATTTGGTAAGTTGTAAATTAATACTGGCCAACTGTAAACATGGACAGGTTAGGACTAGCAAAAGATACAAATAGTGGTTTAATTATATATGTAACAATCCTCGTGGAAATGGAAAGAGCAACGCGGGAGGGAACATGTAAATATCATCCAGACATCAGGAATGATAGAATAGTCACTTTCCATAGCATGGCCATGTATGGTTGATTCAGTATCGTAGCCCGTGGCAAGAGTACTGAAATCCATGTGAGGAACTAAAAGAGAGTGGTTTGATGATTCAAGTTTGTGCTGTGGTTCGGTTGATGTTAAACGTTCTTTAGAGCCATTCGAGAATACTTGTTACCGAAACATCAGCCAACGCATTGGAGGGCCAACTCTCTTCACTTTTGTGTGCGTCTTCGAATGTATTAATTCGTGATAGTCTTTGGGTGGTGGATGGTTCATCACTTTCGGTACCTCTGAATCCAGCTGAAGCCGATGGATGATCAGATACAAGACTGGAGACTGGATGGCTCTGACTGATTGGCGATTTTACGGCGCTTTTCTGCAAGGACTTGGACTTTTGAGTAGGACGAAAAGATGCGGAGGTTGGAGACCTTCAATGATACCCTTTGCCACGGGGAAGCTGGCGACGAAGCCATAGTCTAGATTCTCTCTTCTGCAAACCGTTCGATACTAGGAAAGGAAATTCTGTTGCAAAGTTTGATCGGACCAAGATATATACCTGCACATTTGATGATTTAATTTGCTCATCTAAGTAGCGCGGAAATCGTGGCAATGTAAACTGTGTTCTCTTTAACTGGACGTCAATGTAGGATCTCTGTTTGAGAGGAATGGAGAAGGGGTGCCCTACGCCCACATGGGCTATGAAGTTAGCGATATGCGTGTCAAGCCGGGTAAAAGAGTGTACAAGATATGGCTCGTTCAAGTGTATACGCAAGGTTTCGAAACGTTCGTATCTTTTCTTGCGGTGATCACCGCCGGAAAGTGACCCTGCCTACATAAGAAATATGGGCGCCCCGAGCTCATTTATCATCTGAATGGACAAAGCTCTACTATTAATTCACGTTGGGCTTTTGACTTACTTCAATCGCTTTATAGATATCTACCAAATGAGCAGTTTCAAATGTCTCCCTCTGAATTTTCCTCGGACCTCCCGCCATATACTAGACACGGTTTGTTTCCCTCTGTTACTGAATGACTACTTACTGATGCAAAGTAGATTGGAGAAGCGCAATCGAGTTTCATACGGCTTTCAGACACTGGTCTATGTCAAGGCGATGGAGAGAAGACTGGCGCTTTTCCAAGGCAGTCCTGAAGACTGCTGACTGGAATGCACTCAATCGTGCTATCCATGCCCGTCAAGGGCTCTCCAGAGGGTTTCAACAAATCAATGCTCTACAAGGCCAGATAAAAAAAGGAATATTGCAAAATAAGGAGATTTATCGGATGGTGTGGACTGCTTTTGGTAGATTTGCCGACTCGATGAATGAATTAGAGCTTTCGACAGGTGAGGATCTTTCTGAATCTTGCTGTGAAATATTGCTCATTCAATCCAGACTACCGATTTGAGGTGAAGGGGCTTACATGTTCTACGGGCGGGAAATGCTTAGCCTACTCATCAACCAGTGGAACAAAATGATTGCCTTAATTTTTGAAGTACATGTAAATCTCTGAATTTCTTGCACTTTGGAGCACCTCCGATCCAGATACAATTTCGACCAAATTCGTGCAGATTGTAGATGAACAAATCGCGTATTTAGATGAGATAATTCCAAAATGCGGAGTTGAGACAGACTATGGTGCTTCTTGATTACTTTACCCAGTGTTTCAGTAGAAGCAGCGCCATCTTGAATGTCTTGGACTGAACCTTCACTTTCAAATCCTGCTTCAAATCCTCCGGAATACAACTGACGTTGCCCGGAACTGCCTTGATAAGGAAATTGTATTTTGGGAACCTTTGGGTTCCCGCAAGAGAATTTCTTGCTTAAAGTTCGGTTTTCTTGTGGTAGGAAGTACTCGTACTTCTTGGAGACTGGTTGATGCTCCAAACAAGGGCGTACGGCTGGGGACACGTCTTGTTGAAGATGTGGTACGCACGTACAATGATTTTGACTTTGCCATTGGGGATATTCATCCACTCAACTTGTTCCACATTATTCCATCGATCAAAGTCTGCCTTGTCGCCCATATTGCCATGTTTTTCAGTTTGATCCGAACTGATTACAATAAGGTCCAGGTCGTTCTGAAGCATCTTTCCTGGGCAATCTGTCCAGACTAAGGTCACTTTCAGTACTGGTCCACTTGGAGCGGTAGTGCTGGTTGACTTTTCCTGGGCCTTGATGAAATCTCTTTGGCTTAGGATATGGATCAGAAGCTCCTCGCTTGCACCTTGCGCGAGTGCTCCACCCTCGCGATATCCACAACCAACTTGGTCTGGTAAGATCACTGAGTTGGACAGATTGACTCGACCAAAGCCGCTGTTACTATTGGGAGATGGGCCAGTTTCGCTTGGAACATACTGCCCGGGTATTGCAACCGCTCCATTGATAAGCATTGCTTTGAGAAGAGCAGCACTAGGGTTTTGTAATCCACTTTTAACCAAAGTCTCTCTTAAGACCGCAACGCACCCTGCCACCAGAGGAGTGGCCATGCTAGTGCCAGCTAGGAACCACCATTCGGAATCTTGACTTGCACCAAAGTGAGCATCAGCATTGACCACATTTCGTGACCTTGTTGATAGGACCGCCGTTCCAGGGGCAACAACGTCAGGTTTTATGCGAGATTCTAGGGTAGGTCCGCGACTGCTGAAGGCTGCTAGGCCTTCGGGTTTGTCCGCCATCAGATCCTTGCCTATTGGACCGCTTGGCCATCGCTGACCATAAGTGATAGGGATCTCTGGGCGATTATTCTCACTTGCCCCAACAGTAATGCAGTTTTTCGCAGCAGCCTCGGAACCGATCTGCCTTGGGTCAATGACACCATTCCTGTCTGCATCTATGCCGTCATTCCCAGCAGCGAAGAGGATCACCATATCCTGATGGTCCCAGACAAATTTGTCAATTTCCGCGCTAGATTCCGTATACGGAAGCTGTCTTCTTTCAGGGTCGGAAGATCCCCACGAGTTGGTGTGGATTCGAGCACCGCTCTTTTCATAGGGAGGAGAGAAAAGGTCTGCAAAGTCGGGAGGGATCCCACCCAAACCATTGCGTCGGTCTAGGAGAGACTGCAGTACCAAAGTAGCCTTTGGGGCTGTGCCTCGAATATTTCCTCCCATAGGCGCAGAGAACCCGTCCCCAAGAACAGATCCACAGACATGTGTTCCATGGCCATCTGGATCATCTGCTTTCCCAGAACGTCCTAGGGCATAGAGCTCCTTTACTCGGTTCGAGAAAGCAGGATGGGTATCGATAATAGATCCTTTATCAAACCCTGTGTCTGCTACAGCTACCACCTGTCCTTCGCCCTCGTACTTGGTACCATTGACTTGGACAGGGGCCCCAAGAACTTGTGCTGCCCGATTGTTGAACAGTCTTGCCGGATAAACTGGCTGAATGACCTTGACCGCGTCAAGATGGGCCAAATCGTCCAAATACTGATTTTGAACTTTAAATCGAACCTTAGAGGATCCAACATCCAAGGTTTCAGGGTCAGCATGCGCAGCTGCAGCAATTTCCGAGAGAACATGAGAGGAACTAGTGTCAACATCCTTATGAAGAACAACGTCAACTGTTTTAGAGATACGGTCTTTCGGCACGGCAGGAGATGATGCTAACTCCCTTGTTCTACCCTGGGTTTTCAAGCTATCCTGAATTACAAACATGTCCAGATAGACGTTGGCCCAGGAGACAAATGGGAGCTGGCGTATGGATTCGAGGTCTGTGCCCTTAAACCCACAGAGGTAGGTATTATGGGAAACATATTCCTGGATATCAACTCCTATCGATTCAAGTTCGTCTTCCTGTTCATTGGAGAGCGGCTCGACTGATTGAACCAGGATATAGTCAGACTGACTCGCATCCGCTGACTCGAGGCCCAAGGCTTGAAGTACTGGGCGCTGTCCCTCGGGATCGACACTGTTCCCATTGATTGATACAGTGGGTGTCCTGCTATGATTGTGGTTTGAATTTTGGCTTTCCATTATGAAGGCGGGGGAGAAATGTAATATTGAGAGTGATCGAGAGATTCAAGTTCTCGCCCGGAAATTCCAGTCCAAGCTTTGGAGTTTAGGAAGGGAGTGAAAAGCTACACAAAGATTCACGACGAGGCCTCTGATGTCAAATCAGGTATCAAGTCTCTAGTAAAACGCTAGAGGTACTATTATATCTTGCATGTGTACACTGAGGCCCAACTTGATCGTTTTCAAAATTTGGAATAGGATGTACATGAGAAGATCTATACCTGCTATTTATATGCTCATTCCCGGAGCGCATGAGGCTATGCCAGGGAAAGAGGTTCGAGCAGACTTGAACTGGTGACTGTCTTTGACAATGCAAAGACCGGTTGGTATGCTCGTGTACAAGTAGAAAAGAGTGGTTGACCTACTTGCCATCATCTAGGCCATATTGACTAGCCGCATTTGGATCTTGCGGTCTAGACCACCTAAAAAACCATCTGCTAAAATTCACCATTGGCTTGAGTTTATTGGTCAATCATTTACTGGTTCTCCTATTGTTTGGTTCCTTTCCCGTCTGTTCAGGTGATTTATGAATTAATCATTACCGGCGAGCCTTGGACATCTCTAGGAATCCCAATTCAAGTTTGAGCCTCCCAACGACTTATTGAGCATAAAGATTAAGCCTGTCAGGTGGCCGATCAAATTGAACATTAGCAATTGGGTTCTCCATATCCGGTTGCGGAAAAAGGCGTAGATAGAGAGCCATGGTTGAGTTAGTACATCGAGGCGGTAAAGAGGCGATCGGCGAGGCCTAGAAATATCGTATGAGTGAAAGTTTAGACTATGTAAAAAGAAGAGAAAAACTTCATCTCGATAATATTAAACCTTTTGTTCCGTGGGTCTAACATGAAGGATCGTACCCAGGCCCGATAAAGACCCGAGTGGGATATATTGGAATACTACCTGGACCATGTACGAGTTGAGGGTACGCAACGCCCGACTGTTTTGACTTTTGAGTATAAGGACATACAATTTAATTCATATGCAGGGAAACGCATAGCTACGGTGCATACGCTGAAAGTAAAATGGACCAGAATGATCCTCTGATGAGCAGTCTCGATGTCAAGCCGCTCTTCGGTCACCTTTTTTTTGCACTCGGCCTAATTCGACTTCAGCACCCGAATGAGGTCCATAGCTTAGCATGCATTCTTTACATGAACTAGTTCTGAGGTAGTAGGCGCTCCCAATATGAAAAAGGATTATTCATTTTGAGTCTAATTAATCCAACATCAACATCCATCTTCTGCATAATCATCAACATGTAGGGGAAATCCAGCGGATGTCTGAAGGTGCTAATAATATACTATTCATGTCGGGCAAACTAATTATGTACTGGTAAAGTTTTCTGATGCTAACTCTGGCATTTTTGAAGGTTTCTGTCGTTTAACCTGAACTAACAGTGCCCAATTCCTCATCATTTGGCGTGCTTTTCCACTCTTCTTACCGGCCTTTACTGGTTGACTCGAAGGACCATTCATAATATCTTCATAAGCAACGGAGTTTTGGGGTGTTCTTTCATCGGCGTATGTGTCCGTTTGGTTCCCCTCAATAATCCGCTGAGCGACATTGTATTCTTGAAAGACGTCTAGTAAAAGGGTCGCAATTGTGTCGTGAGAAATATGACTGTTACCGTATCCTAATAAGGTTGCACTCTCTTGAAAAAGCAAAGAAGAGCACTTCTTTCGATTAGCGATGCTGAATTTAGACCTTACACCATTCTGTTTGAATTCAAGTTAGCCAACCCGAGAATTTACACTATTCTAGGAGAGGCCTACCTCTGATTAGCCAATCCTACGACTTGAAAATTCGCACCAAAGATGCACTGGTAGTAGCCCGTCATTCTATAAATGTGGCTTGGTGGACTGTTAGATCAGTTTTCTACCGAACGGTTAACTTAAACCATGCTCGTCCGCTTGGTCGATGCCGCCGATATTCTTCGTATGTAGAGTTGCGTCAGATACTAAGTTTCTTTGAACATGAATTTTCATCTTCCTTGCTGAGAGAATGTGGAATCTATCACGTCCCGTGGTCTGGAACTGCAATGGATGCATCATCGCAGTGATCAAGAGACATCGCACGAGTGTAATAATCGGATTTTGCGGTGCTATAGAAAGTATAAAAGTATCTTGATATCCAGTCAGTGTAGAAACTCCATAAGCAATACTACACAAACTCTTCTGATCACGATTCGATAAGATGAATGCCACCAGTAGCCTGCATATCGAAAGGTGGGGAGACGATACCTACCTTGTGGGGTATTGCATAGATAATCACCAACATTGGAACCCAAGTAAGCTGCGATTGGACAGCTTCCTTGGAGATAATCGCGGTATGTGATGTATTAGTATTAGGGTTAGCTTAACTTAGGCTAACATTGAAGAAGGACGATTTAAAGGGGGTGGTCATCAGTTCACTGAGCGTGCCAGAAACATCAGCTTCGTTCCAGAAGAAGGTGCTAGTCGAGCCCCCATTCTGCGAGCTGAACTGGAAGATGATACAGGCAGATTCTTGCCAGGAGATGTGAATCTGGCTGAGAGAATCAACAATCGTGATGGATACCTGCAGTTTAAGTGGTAGGCTCCTGATCCAATGGAGAGATTCACTGCAATGCTGAAATGTGCGATTCTAGATCCCGGTCCTTCATGAGCTATTTGCAACGGCTAATATGGAAAATCAAAAGGCTACCTGAGTTCGGTTGCTTGGTCTTTTACAGGTGTGAGCACACTATATAATGGAAAAAATAATGGGTCGATCCGTCGGTTTTGTCTTATATATCCGACTAGTCTTCGATTTGACTGTACAAAAAAATAGCACAGCTAATCAAAAGTCTGACATACCTATGGTACAATAGCGATAAGAGATACTCCTAGAAAATTGTGTCTGTATCAGAGGTAGAATGAGTAAACAACTCTCTCATAGAGCTTCAACGCTTTTCTGTCTTCTTCACACAGACTTGTAATTTGTCCAAAAAATTATATTATACCGGGAAAATGAATGCAAAATCCTGAACGCGAGCTATCAGCGATCAACTTTCCGGTAAGTGAGATTTCCTCTCGATTTCTCGTGTAGATAAAATTTTGTACTGTTATACCTCATTGATCATTTGATAGATCGAACCATGTATGACGTTACTTGGGCTTTTAATTCATAGGGGAAAACATACAGCACTAGTATAATGAGAACCTATGTATTCAATTATGCTTGAAGAAAGAGAATAGTGAATATATATATATATAAAGAGAGAGAGAGAGAGAGAGAGAGAGAGGAAATAGTATTTACAACCCGCAAACAATAATGCTGCTTTATCATTCATTACCATAAGCATGTTTTCTTCGCCACTCAAACCATATGATTCACATTGTAACTTCACCACTTTATTTAGAGCCATATTACAGAGACAACAGGCTTCAAGCTTTCTAGTGCTGAGTGTTGCCGTTTGAAAAGAAAAAAGGGTTGGGGGTGTAGCATGACCTTGTACGAGCAGTGTATCATGGTACTAATACAGGAAGAACACCAATCTGTTGAGACTTCTTTGATAATATCAGGATTTCTAACGGCGAAATATTGGTAGCGGAAAAGGTCTAGACATTGTGGATAGATAGAGAATGGCTAATGCTGGTACTCTCTCTCAAGTTGAATCGCAAGCGCCAGGTAGTCAGCTTCACTTGTTGATGTCAAAATAGTTGCTTCATTCACCGTGAAAGCCATCCTCTAGCCATCAAGATCCCAGGTCCTGGCTACCTTGGCAATTCATAGAGCAGAGTCCCAAGAGCATTCAGCTGCGCAAGCTTGCTTTTATTGCTTCTCCAAGAAAACAACTCTGCTTTCTGAGGTATACCATCCATCTGTGGGGAGGGAAGGAAAACATAATCCGATGCCACTGTATCATATATCTAGCCTCGCGACTGACTATTAACGTAATCGGTAAGCGAGCGGCGCATGTAAGCGAGTGGCGCACCTCCTATTCAACGCGTCCATGAATTAGAACCTAACTAATTCAACCATCCAAATAACTATATTCTATTGTCATAGCTGCAGCTTAATATTGAGACAGGGTTTCTTCATATTGGAGTGGGCTTGGGATGATAACTGGTAGTGTTGGGAAGGTCAAACACAGTACAGAATAATTACATTACGGTCATCTAGCTGGCTTGTCACCCTTTACGCCAGAAATCAGATGGCGCTCCACATGTTGTCATGTAATAAGAGTTGCCGCGCCAGGAATTTTACTTAGCTTATTATTTGGGCGAAACCAGAGTGCAACCAAAGTGTGGTTGTTCGCATTCGAAAGATTAGGCATTTGTACGTCTTCCTCGGTAAATAGTGTGGCCTATAGAGGCGATTCATCATTCAAACAAGCGGGGGTAGCACATAATTAAGCTGATTGTCGCGGTCGGACAATGTTGCTCAATATTTAAACTTAATTAGGGGGCAATGGTTGCACAAGAATCTCATTTATTCCATAGCCGTATTCCACCATTGGTCGGAAATATCAGCACAAAACCCTACCAGAGATTAATCAACTCAGGTTCAACTTAAAAAGCCCTCCTGGTAATATGAACCAAGTTCGGACGACAACTTGGCGATAAATGAGTGCTGTCCCGGTTGTTAGTCAAATCCAAGCGTAACTTTCGGAACGGCCCCATGTCTCGACCATGGAATCTCCAAGTACATATGTTGGCTATCTTTGCTTAGACTCTATTTTCGTAGATTCAATCTAGATCAGAAGCAACCATGGCACTCGGTCATCATGGGGGTACAAAGAAAAGCGGAAAGCTCACCCGCCAATCTAGAACAGACTCGCTATAATTAACGCCTCACATATGAGCGCAAGACTGCTGTCAATTGCGAAGATGAGGCCATGTAACTGATTTGTAACAGCAATAAGTCGGTGATGGGGGGTGTTACGTAGTTGTCCTTTGGCTTGGAAACTATGGATGTAGCAGTAATGATGCACTTTCAATACATTGCATATTGTAGAAACAGCTGTTTGGTCTGGGAAATGGCCAATGAAGTTCACTAGTATATCCCGGGGCTCCGCATTTGGGGTCGGATCGCGGTTCTAACCCGCGAACGTAGTTGAACCTCTAAGTGGCGGTCATGAGACGTAGTTGTTTGATAGCAATAATCAGGATCTAATGTAGAGAACCATACGTAGTGCTTGATGTCAGACTTAGGCAAGGATAGGTCTGGACTCTGGTGATGTCAATTGTAAATGTAGCTTGGGGGGATTTGCCCTTGGATAGATGGCAGGTAGTGGCTATAAAAGACACTTCTTCCTCATACATGACTAGATTTTGGACGCTTAGCCCTCCAGCAAAAAAGCTTTCTGAGACTTTAAACTGAAAGCAGTCTGTCACAATGAAACCCACTCTACTTGTTCTAAGCTTGATCACCACCACTGCTCTTGCGGGTAGCACCTGGTGCAACCTTGGCCAGTATTATTGTGGCTGGCTTCTCAACCAATCTGCAAACCCCCCTAGTACGGTAACGATTCTGGCTGGAAAAATATCCACAAACAGTTGTTGGAGAACTAGATATATCAGCTGCTAACCTATTATAGCCTATCAAGCCAATGTAATCTATTTATGCGACAACCCCGGTGGCGATCAAAGTTTCGTTCGGGGTTGCCCAAATGGATGTTTTGGCCACCCAGCTCATTGCCAGTGTTGATCTATTCTCCCGCAAGGACATTGGCCAACTGCACTACTTATGAGCTTTTGTTGGAATCAACTAGGATGTGCTGTAATATAGGGTTTACTACTTCCCAGGCTGATCTATCGAAGAAAAGTTAGTTTAATACTTCTGACTTCTGGCAATCTGAACTTGGCCTGGTCGCTGTCTGCTTCGTTAGCTGCGTGGGAGGGATCAGATTTAATAATGTCTGTTGCTTTTGCCATATTATAAGTTTTCACTAACCTGAAGATGTCCCTATACTGTCATGCAAACGCAAAGGCTGCTGCAAATTATAGCAACATCATATTCGAAGCAAGTCAATTCTTTAACAAAAGTGCCGTGGTGCGAACCATGTACGGACTCGAAGCTAGAGTCATCCAGCTATCGTATTCCTAAGCCTATAGTAAAGACGCGCCAAGGCGTAAACAGGGTACATTCATGTAGTATAGAGGCAACTGTAGCACTCTACAAGGATGTCAATCCGCGAGAGGGTCCTTATAGCTAGGGTGAAAGAACAATGATTTCGCGAGGCAATGATAGGTGTGCCCCTAGCAAAACAAGCAATGCAAAGAAACTTCGCCTGGTTTCATATCTCTATGAAGATACCAACGGAAGAGACCTACTCTGTACATCTCGCCTTTTGGACTGATACAATAATCTGGAACAACTTCCTGAGACGACCGATGCGATGCCCTTATTACCTGGACAATTACTATGCAACTTTCCGCCAAGTACCATCGAGACTTTCTTGATGCTTGTTCTGAACACGGGCCACAACGCAGAGGAGAGTCAGAAACTCACAGGACTGCGCTCCATCTATGAACAGCGCGTGAGGATCTTGTCTTATTTGCAACGGGTTGAGTCGCTGAGAGGCCAGTCAGCCAGTGTATCATTTTAACAATGCTTTTTATACTATACGAATTTCTGAATATACAGGCCGTATTCCCTCGTTTCGGCGGATTTGTTCTGCGGCCTGATGAGAACGCATCCCGTTCTCATTACGTTTTCAATCGCTGCCGACCTTTGCTAGTATTTACTTCGGGGCCTACCATTGAGCAAGTTATTTTCTTGTTATTGTTTAGTTGAGTCAGTAACTGTGACGGAACGTTTGAAAGGTGCCGCTTTTAGCTAGCATAGAGTAGACACAGCTAATTTGGTGTCGCTTTCCAGACCCGTAGGTGCTCCTACCGCTGGCGAAATTATATACTTATTAAAGGATTCTTATCCTTAAAGGCTCTAAGTTAGGGACCTATAGATAACTATAAAACTATAGTAGTCAACACTTATCTAGCTTATATTCTATTAAGCTTACTTTTATATCTATACTAGCTAGTAAATAATAATATTCTTTAAATATTATAGTAGAGAAGGCTTAGTAAGTGTGAAGGGCTAAAGCAGAACTTAAATTTAATTCTAACTATGCCACGATCTATGTACAAAAAGCTTAGAGAAGAAAAGGAGTAAAAAAGGAGTAAAGTTAGCTAGGTAGCTATAGATAGGGTTAATAGGGTAGTAACGATAGATAATAACAATAGGTGTAATGGTTACTAAGTTGTTAGGCTAGAGACCTGTGACTAGGTAAGGATATCAGATAGTAGAGATTAAATAGAATAGTTAATATATAGAACTGATTCTTATAGGATAAGAATTATAGTTATTATTTATATATTTTAATATTATTAGAGCTTACTAGGGCTTAGGGTAGTTATATATTAGTAGGTGTATTAAGATAGATTCACCTGTAGAGTAACTATGAATTATATCTGAATTATATCTAAAGGGATTCAGGAATCCTGTGATAAAGTATAATTCTATATTAATTATTATAGGTTAAATAAATTAATAATAAAGGATTATTATCTACTACTATTAATTAGAGAGATACTAAGGAATATAGGATA